AAAGAAAATATTGAGTAGGAAACAAATAATGAGTGGGAAATATTAACTGGGAAAGAGAATATTAAGTGGGAAATGTTGACTGGGAAACAAATATGGAGTGGGAAATAATAACTGGGAAACAAATAATGACTACTGACGGGAGAAAAATATATTAACTGGGAAATATTGGCTGGGAAACAAATATTGAGTAGGAAATATCAACTGAGAAAGAAAATATTGAGTAGGAAACAAATAATGAGTGGGAAATACTGACTGGGAAAGAGAATATTGAGTGGGAAATATTAACTGGGAAACAAATATTAACTGTGATGTGACTATTGAGTGAGAGATATTAACTGGGAGAAAATTATTAACTGGGAAATAATAACTGTGAAACAAATATTGAGTGGGAAATAACTGGGAAACAAATAATAACTACTGAGTGGGGGAAAAATATATTAACTGGGGGGGGAAAATGTATTAACTGGGAAATATTGACTGGGAAAAAAATACTGAGTGGGATTGGCTTTGGGCTGCATGGGGGGAGGAAATGGAGATTTTGGGTGTGCCAAGGACCAAAAATGCCCATTTTTATATCAAAATCTGCTTGTGGTGTCCAGGCTTCTGCTGTGGGGACTCTTTGGGGTGACCTGCAGAGCCCCAAAGCCGTGTGAGGATTTAGGGCCTGCTGGGGTTTAAAGCTGACAGGACTTAGGGTTTTTCATGTAGAAAAAGCTAATTATTCATTCCTAAAACTGATATAGTTTTCAAAGACTTTGTTTTTGACTGGAATTGGCTGTAATTTTTTTGCTGCTTGTCCTATTGGTTACAAGGTGCTTGTGCAAGACTTTTTAAATTGTTGTTTACATTATTTTGGTGGATTCTTATGGGCTATAGTTATTGTTTATTATTATTATTTGTTATGACAGGTGTAGCTTATTTTTCTTGGCAAGAATAGGCTGTTATGTAAACTCATTCCTGAGATTCTTCCTTATGGGAATTAACTAACTGCACTTAGCTGAAGTGGCAGGCCTAAACCACGATTTTATGTTTTTCTTTTATAATATTTTTATTTTTATGTAGCATTACCCTGCCTTAGAATTGAATTTACTGCGTGGCTTTTCCCTCTGGGAATACCTGAGGATTTCAGGAGTTTGTTTTGCTGTGCTGGGCACAGGCAGGGTTGTTCTCTCCTTGGATTCCCACATTTCTGGGCTCTCCCAAGGAATTTGGGAGCAATTTGCAGGTTTGAGTGTGCTGGACAAAGCAAAAGTCACATAGTAAATTCGATTTTAAGGCAGGGTGATGCTACCTACAAATAATTACATTATCTGTAGGCAAAATTTATTTACAATTATTTATGTATATATTTATTATATACAATTAATAAATACATATATGTATTTATTATATTTTTATATATTTATTTTTATATATTTATACTTATTTACATTACTATTATATATTTATTTTTATATATTTATACTTATTTACCTTACAATAAATACCTACAAAACTATTATAAAAGAAAGGCCCTATAAAATTGTGGTTTAGCTAAGTGCAGTTAGTTAATTCCCATAAGAAAGAATCCAAAGAATGAGAATCAGTTTACACAACCTAATCTTGCCAAGAAAAATAAGTTACACCTGTCATAACAGAAGATCCATCCCATAAGAATCCACAAAAAAATAATGTAAACATCTAGAAAAAGTTTTGCACGTTCACACACAGGCACCTTCTAGCCAATAGGATAAATAGCAAAAATATTGCCTGCCAATTTCAGTCACACTCAAGGTCTTTAAAAATTGTAGAAATGTAATCTTTATAAATAAAATTAGCTTTTCCTATATAAAAAAATGATTCAGATTTTCCTACATGAAAAAATGATCCAGCTCTGAAAACCCCCACACCCAAAACAAGAAAAAAATCCAACTTGAGAGTGATTATTTCATTTTCCTCCTCCTCTTCCTTCTTTCCCTGCTCCTGAGTGTGTCACAGATAAATTTTATCTTTGTGCACAGATGAAGCAGAATTCATTTAAAGCAATTTTTTCCTACTCCAATCATCACAAAGAGCATCCACACTCTGCCTTTCCTCTTGGAGAGGAGTTTTCCCTATGAGCTCCATGCTCCTAAGGGAATAATTTTCCCTCCAGGAACCCCCTTAAATATTTAAAATTTAAGTTTAGAAATCAATCCTTGGGGGTCCAGAGGCAACCTGGGGCTGGAGGGTGAAGGGTTGGATATGGGGGAATGGGGTTGGTTTGCTCCTAGAATTCAGTTTTTGGTGCAGAAAATGATGTTGGTCCTTCTTAAGAATAAAGCTGAGGAAAAAAATCAGAGTTTTAAAATAGCAGATTGTGTTTCCCAGGTGGAACTCTCAGGGACAGCAGGGAAAAAGGGGTTTATAGGCGGATGGTGCTGGGTTTGGAGAGGCTTTTGTGGCTGAGGTGGGGTCAGGCAGCAGCAGGGCTGGCTCTGCCCTGGCACCTCCAGCCCAGAGAATTCCCCCTGGCATTCCCATGGCTCAGGGCTGGGAGTTTCATGGGTGAGGTTTGATGAGTTTTGAGCTTCATGGATGAGGTTTGAGGATGAGTCTTGCCAGGACAGGTCCTGGGGGAGTTTCAGCTCTGAAAGCACCTGGCAGGGACTGGAGGAGAAAATCCCAACCCCAGCTCAGTGTTTGGTCCTCCCTGGATGGGGAATTTTCCTGTGCCAGGGACTCAGGAGCAGATCCCAGCCCCAGCTCAGTGTCTGGTCCTCCAGATGGAGAATTTTCCTGTCCTAGGGTTTGGAGGAGCAGATCCCAACCCCAGCTCAGCCCCTGCTCCTCCAGATGGGGAATTTTCCTGTCCTAGGGTTTGGAGGAGAAGATCCCAACCCAGCTCAGTGTCTGCTCCTCCAGATGGGGAATTTTCCTGTCCTAGGGTTTGGAGGAGCAGATCCCAACCCAGCTCAGCCCCTGCTCCTCCAGATGGGGAATTTTCCTGTCCTAGGGTTTGGAGGAGAAGATCCCAACCCAGCTCAGTGTCTGCTCCTCCAGATGGGGAATTTTCCTGTCCTAGGGTTTGGAGGAGCAGATCCCAACCCCAGCTCAGCCCCTGCTCCTCCAGATGGAGAATTTTCCTGTCCTAGGGTTTGGAGGAGCAGATCCCAACCCCAGCTCAGCCCCTGCTCCTCCAGATGGGGAATTTTCCTGTGCAGGGACTCAGGAGCTGCTGGAAATGCCATCCTGGGGTTGTCCCCTGAGCAGTGTCCCTCTGTGGTGTCACTCATAGGGCAGTTTTGGGGTTTGCTCTCAGCCCCCCTCTCCAAAGGCAGATCTCCTTTTGCTTCCCCTTTCCCAAAGATCCCTTTTTCCCCTCTCCTGGAGCCAGCAGCCCTCCAGGCAGATGGAACTCTTACATAACCCAGCTTCTGAGCACATTTCTGTCACTTTTGGGGTTCTGCTCCAGGGGACACCAAAGAGCAGCTCAGCCCTGGGGCTCTCAGCCCCCTTGGGTCGGTTTGGGGGAGCAGGATTCTCCAGGGGAGAAAAATGGGAGTATTCTCTGTTGTTAGGGACTCACTGAGCCTTGGTGGGGCTGGGAAAGGATGGGTTTGGGGAAGCAGAGCCAGGAATGGGGCAGGATGAGCCTGTGGGGCTCAGCTGGCTTTATGGGATTCATGGACCCCACAGGCTGGAAAACCTGGGATAAGGGAAGATGTCCCTGCCCATGGGGTGAGCTCTAAAATCCCCTGCAGCCCAAACCATCCTGGAATTCTGCAAAAAGAGGGAATAAATTGGAGGAGCCCACCGTGCTCCTTCTGCCCTCCACGGGCTGTGGTGAGGCCGCTGCTCCTGGGGCTCTGGAACTCCAGGATTTCCCAGCTGGCTCTGGAATCCTCAGTGCCAGGCACTGAGCAGATAAAACCAGGGCTGAGCACAACCAAACTCGGGTTTAAGCTGGGTTTTAACACCCAGGAGGGTTTTCCTCCTTTCTGCAGTGCCCACAAACAGTGTGGGAAAAGAGGGAATCATCAGGACAGAAATATTGGGAATAATACCTGGGAAATATTGAGTGGGAAACAAATATCAACTGGGAAATATTAACTGTGAAAACAATATTGACTGGGAAACAAATATTGAGTGGGAAATATTAACTAGGAAAAAATATTGAGTGGGAAGTAATAACTGGGAAATATTACCTGTGAAATACATATTAGCTGGGAAATAATAAGTGCAAAACAAATATTGAGTGGGAAATATTAGCTGGGAAACAAATATTAGCTGGGAAATCTTGTCTGTGGAACAATTAACTGTGGAAAAAAAATTAAATGTGAAAAGTAATATTAACTGGGAAAGATATTAACTGGGAAAAAATATTAAATGTGAAAAAGAATATTAACTGGGAACTAAATATTAACTGGGAAGTTGTAACTGTGAAACAAATATTAACTGGGAAAAAATAACCATGAAATTAATATTAACTGGAAAAAAACCCCTGAAATATTAACTGGGAAATCATAACTGTGAAATAAATATTAACTGAGAAGCATTAACTGTGAACAATTAATTGGAAAATAATAACTGTGAAACAAATTGAGTGGGAAATAATAACTGTAATAAATATTAACTGGGAGATATTAACTGTGAAACAAATGTGGAGTGGGAAATAATAACTGTAGTATTTATCAACTGGGAAATATTAACTGTGAAACCATTAACTGGGAAATATGAACTGTGAAACAGATATGGAGTGGGAAATAATAACTGTGAAATATTGAGCGTGGAATATTAAGTGGGAAATAACAGTGCCACACACTGGGAGGGAGTTAATCAGTGTTAAATGAACAAATAAATGGCAGGAAGAAACGTCCCCCCAGCCTCCTGGCAGCCCCTCAATTCTGAGACTCCCTGATCCCCTGGCTGGTCCCTTTTCTCACCCCATTTATGGGCTGCAGCCAGGGAGGCAGTGAGGAGCTTGGGGAGGATTTTTTGGGGGGTTACATTAACAATTCCTTTTCCCTGTTGCTCCCCAGGACTGAAGAAGCGCACCAGGAAGGCCTTTGGCATACGCAGGAAAGAGAAGGACACTGACTCCACGTGAGTTACGGGGGCTCAGGGGGCTTTCGTGGGCCCTCAGCTGGGATCTGGGGTATTGTTATCATCCTTGGATGCAGTTTTATCAGCAGACACATCCCAGCTGTCCCCTGCATGTGCAGCAAATCTGGGATTTCCTGGGAGCTCTCAGTGTGTGGGGGATTTTTGGGGGGCGGTGGAAAAGGAGGACTTGGAGTTGGAGCAGATTCCTCTCTGCCCTTTAGAGCTGGTTAGCGGTGAAAATTCGATTTACACAGATGTTTGTGCAGGGTTTGGTGGCTGGGGAAGGTGCAGCACAGGGATTTTGCTTCCCAGAAAACATCTGGATTCTTCCCACATCTGGTGGGGGGTGCTGTGTGTGAGGGCTGAGCCTGGGCTGGAGCCCCAGGAGGGGCTGAGGGAGCTGGGAAGGGGCTGGAGAATCGGATGTGGCACTTGGGGACGTGAGGTGGCCTTGGCAATGCTGAGAATGGTTGAGTTTGATGATCTCAGAGGGCTTTGGGGCGGATGTCCCCGAGTGCTGTGGCCAAGGAGCCGGCGTCACCATGTCCCGGGGACAGGCAGCAGGGAGTCCCCTCCTGCAGCTCTGCTCGGGTGTTCCACGGTCAGCAGAAACTCCGAGGTTTTTCCTTTTATTCCATTTGGATTCATTCCCCTGAGCAGTTTTATGTCCTGCTGGGAGCTGCTTGGAGGTTTCCCATGCCAAGGGACAGGCCTGGCCCTGGTGGCACTGGCATGTCTGCCGGGCTTTTCCTGCTGCAAAGAACAGGGACACACGGACACATCCCCACAGAGGGACGTGAGCCCCGAGGTGCCATCCTGCTGTCCCCAGGGATGTGGCTGTGGGACAGCCGGGAGCTCCAGCTGGGTGCGAGTTCATCCGTCCCTTATCCCGATGGGCAAGAGAGAGGCTCCTTTGCTTCTCCTCCCCTTGGGAAACCGCTGGAGCCGGGGCTGGGCACTGCCTTATCCAGTGCTGGGATTCGCTCAGCTCCATCCCGATCCCGTCCCGCTGCTCCATCCCATCCCATCCTGCTGCTCCCTCCATCCCATCCCATCCTGCTACCCCCTCCATCCCATCCCATCCTGCTGCCCCCTCCATCCCGTCCCAATCCCGCTGCCCCCTCCATCCCAATCCCATCCCAGTCCCGCTGCTCCCTCCATCCCAATCCATCCCATCCCAATCCCGGTGCTCCCTCCATCCCATCCCATCCCATCCCAGTCCCGCTGCTCCCTCCATCCCAATCCCGCTGCTCCCTCCACCCCATCCCATCCCAGTCCCGCTGCTCCCTCCATCCCATCCCAGTCCCGCTGCTCCCTCCATCCCATCCCATCCCAGTCCCGCTGCTCCCTCCATCCCATCCCAGTCCCGCTGCTCCCTCCATCCCATCCCGCTGTTCCCGGCGGGCCCGGAGGGATCCCCGGCAGCCGCGGAGGTCGCGGCGGGGCCAGCCCGGAGCACGCTGCAATTAGCAGCAGCAGCAGCCGTGATTAGCACGGCGGGGTCACGGCGCGGGCACGGCCCGGGGGCTTTGGGCGCTCTCCAAATCCCCGCGGGCAGCGGCGGGGACGGAACCGGGACAGGAGAGAGGAGAGAGGGATGGAACCGGGACAGGAGAGAGGAGGGATGGGATGGGATGGGACCGGGAGAGGAGGGAGGGGATGGAGCCAGGAGAGGAGGGCAGAGATGGAACCGGGAGAGAAGAGGCGGGGATGGAGCGGGAGAAGGCAGGGATGAAGGGGATGGAGCGGGAGAAGGCAGGGATGTCCCCTGTGAGGATGGACACGGGCAGGGATGTGGCTGTGAGACGGTGCAGGAGCCAGCTGGGACACTGCCAGCCCCAGCACTTAATTTCCTGATAAACCTAACATTTATCAGCTGATAACACGAGGGAAAAAAAATTCCGTGACCTTGTGTGGGTTCCACAAGGCACAGTAACTCAGATGTGCTGATAACTCCAGGTTTTGCTGCCATGAATTCATTTTAAAATTTAAAACCACATTTCCCTGAGTTAATTGGGTGTGGTCTGGGCACTAACACAGCTCCTTTTTCTGTTCTTTCCAGAGGGTCACCAGACAGGGATGGCATCGTGAGTATTGCCCAGTGTCACCTCCCCTCCCACCACCATCAGCATTTGTGAGCAGTTTTCTGTTTAATATAGAAAATAAATGTTTTAAAAGAGGCAAATTCCAGGTTTGCTATAAAAACACCAACAGAGGGAGGCCTGAGGAGCACAGGGGCAGGGAGAGCAGGTGTCCTGCTAAAGCCCAGCTCCTCATCCTCATTTCCACCCCTGCTAATTGGCTTGGGCCAGATTTGCTGCCTGAGAGGTTCATTGCCAGAGCAGCTGTTTCCAACCTCTATTTTTATTTTCTATATTAACCTGAAAACAAGGAGATGTTTGTGGTTTGTTGGTTTGGTTTTTTTCTTTTAATTATTGCTGCTTTTATTCCTGGTGTTAGACTGAAATGTCCCTGCTAGAGCTGGGTAGGAGATGGGCCCTGTCTCCTTTAGTGTTTGAGATAAAAAATATTCTGGGTTCAGACTGGGCTTTATTTCTTCAGCAAATCCAGATTTTGGAGTTCCACCTCAAAATAAAGATGAGCCCCTTGTGAGGCTCAGCAGGGAGAGCAGTGCTGGGGTGTCTTTTAAAAGATAAAAATTTGTGGGCCAAGCTGCTCGTTGCAAGAAATCATTTTAGTTTTCCCCCCAATCTGACCCAAAATCCTTGGCTTTGGGCAGGCTCTGTGATTTTAAGTTGCTTGTTAGGAAATAGAGATGAAAGTAAAGGTAGTTCCTTCAGCAGGGCTCTATTCAGCAGACATAAATGAATAAAGAGCAGGTTTAGGCAGGATAAATTAACAAATAGCAGAACCAATTAATAAATAGCAGGTTGAGGTGGGATAAATTAACCAATAGTAGTTTTAAGTGGGATAAATTAACAAATAGCAGGTTTAGGCTGGATATTAGGAGGAATTTTTCCACATAAAGGGTGTTCAGGGAGGTTTGGAGTCCCCATCCCTGGAGGTGTCCACACCTGGATGTGGCACTTGGTGACAGGGTGGGGATGGGCACAGCTTGGGCTGGATGATCCTGGAGGTTTTTTCCAATTTTAGTTCTGGGAATATCCCCAGGCTGTTCCCTGTTCCAGCAGAAGTCCCATGGGCAGCTTTTCCTTGCCAGGTGTGGGCAGAGGGACCTCAGGTGTCCTCTCCAAGGATGCAGAAATGCAATTTTTAGGGGACAAAACGAAGTTCCTGGAGGTGTTTGAGGTAGAGGGATTGGCGATGGAGAAGTTTAATATAATTTTTCATCCTCCAGACCCTTTTCCACATCATTTTTGCGGCCACTGGAGTGGCCAGGAGGCAAATCCTGACTGCTGAATAGAGCCCACAGGAAAATCCACCTTCAATCCTGGTGGAGCGACAGCTGAGCCTTCCTTTCCTGACAAATCCTTGTTCCCTGGTTCCTAAAACTCAGTTTTGTGCCCTTAAAAAGCAAACCCCCAAAACCAGCCAAGGAGCAGCTGTTTTAACCCTTTTTGTGCCACCCCACCCTTACAGCAGCCCAGCCCTCATCCCAATGATCCAACCTCCAATAGCAAAGCCGAGGGCACGCGGGAAGGAGGAAATAAAAACGGGGTAAGGAAAACTGAGCTCTGCTCCCACAGGACTGTGGGAAACAGGGAGCCCCCCTTGGTTTGGAACCCAGAGTGCAGGAAAATCCCTCTAGGGTCAGCCAGGCCCGTGGAAATGGGGTTAAATACAAATGGATGGGGGAAAAGGAGGAATCCCCTGGAGCAGCGCCCAGAATTCCCACACAACAGAACCCAGGGGAGGTTTTCCCTCCTCAGCTGGGCTCCCAAGGGAGCTGCTCCACCCAGAGCTGTGGAGGTGAGGGGCTGCACCCAGCCCTGGACCAGGGAGTGCATCCTGCCAGCCCCTCAGAGGGAGCTGGGATGGGAATGGTCCCTCTGGAAGCTCAGGGGAGCTGGGTTGTCCCATTCAGGTGCCCAAAATCGTGGTGGCCATGGGACTTTGGGTGGGTTTGGGTGCCCAGAGCCAGACAGGGAAGGGTTCCAGAGGTGAGAGATGCCTGGAGCCTCTTCCAAATGGAGTTCCCTTGATGCCAAGCAGCAGTTCCTGTGTGTGTTGGTGTTTCATGGCATGGACTCATCTCAGACCCTTCCCACTGTTCCATCCCGAATTCACAGCACCTGGCATGTGGGATAATGGGATCTGAGGCCTTCCTGGGATTGCTATTTCTTGGGCAAGGGTTTTTATCTCCCAGGAAATGTTTCCTGAGAAGTTTCCCCGCTTGATTGGTGTTGGGCTGGGAGATCCCAGCACAGGGAGAAACGACCCTTTCCTCACTTTTCCCTAAGGAATGTTGGATGTCCACCTAAGGAATTTTCAAACCCCTCTCCCTCCTTTCCTCTCCCTGGGATGGGAGATTGCAGAGATGGGGAATGCTGTTGGGTTTGTGCTGTGGGTATGGGATAACAGCATCTGCTATGGGATGTGCTGTGCTCCTGCTTCCTCCATTTGAACTGTGGGAATTTTCCTTTCCAGAAGAAAACCAACGGAGCCCCAAATGGATTTTATGCAGAGATCGACTGGGACAGATATGTAAGTGTCCCCTGGAGCTTCCCTGCCCCCAGCTGCATCCCATAGGGACCCCAGGCTCTTCCCACACTCATTTTGGGCTCTTTGGATGCAATCAGCTCTGTCCAGACCCCAATTCCATACCTGCAGCTCAGCCAGAATTCCCAGGGATGAGGTGGCTCTGGGGAGCTCTGTCCTGGCCCATGGGATGTTGCAGTTTATCCAGAGAAAACTTTGAATTCTCAACAAGGATTAAAACTTTTCCTTCTGCAAAATGAATTGTGGAATTTGGGGTGCCGGTGTGGCCCCAGGGGGTTGGGCTGTGCAGGATATCCTTTCCCACAGGAGGGAAGAGCTGCTCCAGCTTTCCAGGAATAATTCACATTCCTCATTTTCCTGGCTTTTTTTTTGTTTTGTTGCCTATCCAGAACTCCCCTGAGCTGGATGAGGAGGGATACAGCATCCGACCCGAGGAACCAGGATATATCCTTTGGTTTTGGCTTTGCCTCTTGGGTTACAGCCTGTAACAGGAGCTGGGGCTCACAGGCAGGCCTCTGGCTCTTTTTATTTCACTGTTAGTATTTATTATTAATTATAATTCTTTATTTCCACCTTTTGATTTCCATTTGGAGCTGGCTCTCCACAGATAAAGCTGAATCACCTGAGGCATTTGAATTGTCTTTGATTCGCTGCTGTGAAATGAAGAGTAGGAGAACATCCCATGGGATGCTCCATGGAGACCAAAATGTCTGTGATTATCCCAGGGAAAAGGAGGATCAGGGAGGAGCTTCTGCCTCCTGACAAGGAGGGTGGAGACAGGTGGGGTAGGAACAGGGGCAGGAGGAGGGGGAGCAGCCTTGAATTCCAGGGGAGGTTTAGGTTGGGTGTTGGGAAAATTTCTCCATGGAAAAGGGTGATCAGACATTAGAACAGCTGCCCAGGGCAGGGGTGGAGTCCCCATCCCTGGAGGGATTTAAAATCCATGTGGATGTGGCACTTGGGGACCTGGGGCAGCACTGGGACATGGCTGGACTGGATTGTCTCATAGGGCTTTTCCAACCTGAACAACTCCATGAAATCCAGACATGGATTCATAAACCCAACCCTGGGCTGGATTTATCCCTGAGAGCAGCAGTTCCTCATGCTCTGGCTGCACAGGGATGCAGCAGTGACAGGCCCAGCACAGGATTATCCCTGCCTCATTTTGGGATCACCAGATTCCCGCTCTCCAGCAAGCTGGGAACACCGAGGGAGGAAAATTCCTTAACTGAGCTGTACCTACCAAAGGAAAGCACTTCTACTCCTCCAGCGAGTCGGAGGAGGAGGAGGAGGCGCACAAGAAATTCAACATCAAGATCAAGCCCCTGCAGGCCAAGGATGTCCTGCGCAGCGCCGCCACCGTGGACGAGCTCAAGGCCTCCATCGGCAACATTGCACTTTCTCCATCCCCCGTGGTGAGTGTCCCCGGCCTTCCCCGGCCTTCCCCGGCCCTGGTGTGTCCCTTTGCAGCTACCAGATAAATTTGGTGATGTTGGTGCCTCATTCGGGCTGCCCCAGAGCAGAGGCTGGGCAGAGTTCCAGAATAAAGCAGGGATTGATTCCAAGCATCTCCTCCATGGATCCACCTTGGGCAGCACCAGAGCCCAGCCAGGGCTGCACCCAAGATGAACCAAAATGGCCCCAAAATGCACGAGGGGCATGGGCTCTGTCCCTGGGATCAGTTCTGCTCCATTTGCACCTTGCAGTTAATTATCCAGCCAAGAGTTTATTATGGCAGCCCCTTTTATAGGGGATTCAAAATTCCTATGGATAACTGATGGGTCAGGGTCTCTGCACCACCCAGGCCCTCAGCCAGTGGTGTGTTTGCATTTAGGATCAGATGGGGCTGGCTGAGGGCCCCATGTAGGTTTGAATCCAACCTATCCTTGCCTTGTCTGGGGATTTGTTTTGCTTCCAACAAATGGGTGTCTGATATGACCAAATTTATTTGGCAGCTACAAACCAGCTGCGCTGTGGCAGTGGTGATGCACTGGGATCATCCCAAACTCGCTGGGAGCTGATCTTCCACTTGGCTTTGGTGTCCTTATTTTGGGGTCTGGTCTGCAGGTGTTGCTCAGGTGTATTGAAATTATGTTTCCAGTTCAAAACTTCTCAAAAATTCCCTTTCCTGCTCATAAAAGAGATCAGGATGTATTACCCCTGATTTTTTCCCCCGTTTTATCCTCATTTTTCAATGAGGAAAAAGGGGAATTTCAGTCAAGGGGAATTTTCAATCATAATCATTCAGGGTCTTGCCCTGAATCTCAAGTATCTGTGAGGTTTTCCATGGGATTTTAGAGGGATATTTCCCACCCTGGAGGTGAATCCAGGTTCCTGGAAGGAAAGGTCATTTTTCCTTAGTCCATCCTGGCATAAAGTCCATCCCCCTCTGCTTTTCCTGAGGCTTATTATGATTCCTGTTGGCTCATCCCAATCTGTTCAGCCATGAAAAGACTGGATTCTGGGCTTTCAGGAGGTTTTGGTGTGGGCTGAAGTGACTTCCCAGACAGAGCTTTCCATGATTTATAAATAACCTGGATCTGAAGTGTGAATGGCTCTCCAAGCCAAAGTGAAACAAAATCCGTGTGCTTTGTTTCTGCTTCCCAACCAGGGAGTTCCTGTTTGGCATTTCGGGATTAGAAATGGCAGTTGGATGCTTTGGGAAGCACAAAAAAAGCAGGGACGGGGGAAAACCAACCTCAAAATGAACAATTTAATATTGATGATAATACTATTAGGAAAATTGAAATCTTGTAGAATGTGAATTTACCAAATAGGATTTTTGTCTCCCTTTTCCCGTGGTGTTTTTCCTGCTGAGATTGGAGGTTTGGGAAGGGTTAAGGAGGATCCCAGTGTGGGGTGGGCTGAGGGATTCGGGTGCTGAGCTGGAGGGGATCCCTGGGGCTGGGTTGGAGCCTCCCTGGGATGTGCTCAGGGCAAGCCCCCGAGGCTGGGCAGGAGGATCCCAAAGCCAGGACGTGCAGCCAAGGGAGCAGATGGGCCAGGAAAGCACCAGAGCCCCGGGCAGGAGCTGCCTGCAGGAACCTGCAGGAATCCCAGGATTCGCTGCCAGGCATCCACAGGAACTCCAGCATTCACTGCCAGCTCCCTGCCCTCATCCAGGGCTTGTCCTCGCTCCCAAACCAGCCACAAAGCCCTGCTCTGGAACTGCTGGGAGGGAGATCATGAATCCCATGGATTGGGCTGGGAGAGACCTAAAATCCCATCCCAAATCCCATCCCATTCCATGGCAGGGACACCTCCCACTGTCCCAGGCTGCTCCAGCCGGGCCTTGGGCACTTCCAGGGATCCAGGGGCAGCCACAGCAAATCTGGGCACCTGTGCCAGGGGCTGTGTCCATAGTCACCATCATTCCCAGCTCTCTGGACTGGGAATTCTGGTGCCTTAACTGGGAATGGCCAGCAGGGCCTGTCATGATAAAACAATGGAATTCTCCCCCTAAAATGGCTCAGACACAACTTTTCCATTTCCAAATGCTCCCTATCCTTCCAGTCTCCCACGTGAGAGGTGAGGGTGGAGCACTCCTGTCCCTCTGCTTTGTCTTTAACCTGACACAAATCTTTGATTCCTCTTCATGAAAAAATCCCTCACCTTCTCATTCCTTCTTTTTTTTTCTCTCTCTGCCTTCTTTTAGAGGAAAAGTCCGGTAAGAAGTGCAATTTTTATGTCCTAGAATATTTTAACCCAGCTTTGTGTGTGCTCTTGTCCTGTCTCTAGAGCTGAAATGCCAAAAGCAAATAACAAATCCTGCCCTTCTAGAATGACGTTTAATTTCCTTGATTGCTGACTTAGACAATTTTAAAATAGAATGTGTAAAAATAGAGCTGGGCTTGGCTCTGAGAGTGCTTTGGGAGTGTAGTTTGGGTCCAAGAATTTGGACCAGGTGTGTAAGGGCTCAGTTTTACCTGGATTGGGGCACATCGAAAGGGAGGAGAAGGCAGGAAACCCATCCGTGGTGCCGCTGGGGTTTCTCCAAGAGAGCTCAGCTTCCAGGGGGGAAATCCCCCCATTTCCCAGGCCTTGTGTTCCCCTGGGGGGCTGTCCCAGGGTGACCCATGAGGTGTGGCGGTGGCAGCTGGGCCCTGGGGTGCTGACGTGTCACTCTCTGACCAGGTGTCTCTTCTCTCCCCTCTCGCTGACCGCAGCGGCGCAGCCCGGTAAGAACTGGGATGGGGTCACGGGGGTCCTTGTCCTTGCTGGGCTCTGGGGGGGCACAGGGCGTGGGGACAGCTGCCAGGGGTGTCACAGGGCGTGGGGACAGCTGCCAGGGGTGCCACACAGCCCCTTGTGTCGCCCCAGTTGTGACCGTGTTCACAGGGGTCCCAGGATGAGGGAAGGGACGAGGATCTGACTCCATGTTTCAGAAGACTGATTTATTATTTTATGATATATATTATATTAAAACTAAAAGAATAGAAGAAAGGATTTCATCAGAAGGCTGGCTAAGAATAGAAAAAGGAAGAATGATAACAAAGGTTTGTGGCTTGGGCTCTCTGTCTGATCCAGCTGACTGTGATTGGCCATTAATTAGAAACAACCACATGTGACCAATCCCAGATGCACCTGTTGCATTCCACAGCAGCAGATAGCCATTGTTTGCATTTTGTTCCTGAGGCCTCCCAGCTTCTCAGGAGGGAAAATCCCAAGGAAAGGATTTTCATAAAAGATGTTTGTGACACCCAGTGATAGCACAGGGGGCCCTCAGTGATGGGGATCCCTGGAGACCCCGCTGTGGCTCTGGGGTGTCCCTGCTACCCTGGCTGGGAGGGTTTGGCTTTTGCCCCACAAGCCCCTGGCACAGCTGGATGGCAGTGCAGAGTGCCCATTCCCAGTGGATGTGCCCACTTGTGCCCATTCCCAGCTGCTGTGGATGTGACACTGGGGACAGCAGGACTGCCAGCAGTGGCTTTGTGTGGCTCAGAAATTTTCTGCAGAGTTTTTGGCTCCCTGGAGCTCAGGCTCCTGCAGGAAATGTCCCCTCAGACAGCTCCTGCCACCTCTGCTGGGCTGCTTTGCTCCTGGGGTGACAGCTGCCACACAGCCCTGTCCCTGTGCATCCCACTGATCCCTGTGTTTCTCCTTCCAGGGCACGATTAAAAGGAATTTATCCAGTAAGTATCTCCTGCAGTCCATCAAACCAGCACTCCTTGCACCTGCTGGGGGGGTTTGGGGAGTGGGAGTGGGAAAAGGAGGGAGTTAAATTTGGTTTAAAGTGATCCTGCAGAGCTGGTGGCTCCCAAAAGCTTTCCCTGGAGAAGGTGTGGGGGACATCTGCAGCAGAGCAGTTCCCTGATTCAGCTCTGTACAGAAATAAATTGGAGTTAAAAGCAGATTTTTGCTGCCAGGATCCCCGCAGAGCAGGGTGGGTGGGACACCAGGTGTGACCCCCCTGCCAGCAGGGGCTCTGGGGGCCAGGGGGATGCTCTGGGGTGGGAATGGCTCTGACTCTCATCCCTGTCTGTCCTGTCCTGTCCCAGGTGAGGAGATCACGCGGCCCCGGCGCTCCACACCCACGCCAGACCCTGCCAGGTCAGTGCAGATCATCCTGCTGGGGCCATCCAGGCTCAGGCTCCTCATCCCACCTGGGACTGGGACATTCCCATTTGCATTCTGCTGGACGGGAAGCTGGAGGGGCAGATGGGGTTTTGGGAAGGAATTGTTCCCCGGGAGGGGGAGGAATGGAATTCCCAGATTTGCTGTGGCTGCCCCTGGATCATGGCAGTGCCCAAGGCCAGGCTGGACACCCTGGGACAGTGGGAGGTGTCCCTGCCATGGCAGGGGTGGAATGGGATGAGATTTAAGGTATTTATACCCAAAACCATTCCAGGATTTTGGCAGGACTGAGGGGCTGGTGGTGGTTGGGATGCTCAGTGCCCATCCCTGCTCTCCACCAAAAGCTCCAAGGACATTCCCTGTTGGAAGGTACCTTGAGCCTGATCCATAGGGAGCAGGCCAAGCTTTGGGGAGGATTTATTGATTCAGGACAGCAAACATGCAAGTTTTTATGGAATAAAGCCAAATCTCCCTGGGAACGTGCCCTGTGCAGCTCCAGGGGTCAGCTCAAGGTGTGTTGGAGCAGAGCATGGCCCAGACCTCAAGTTTTTATTTTTTCAATCCTTCTCCATGAAGTTTTGACTAAACCCAAAGCAACTCAGTGTCCCAGCAGCTGCTGTGGCACCACAGGGTTGGCACTGGGGTGCTGCTCCTTTCCCTTTACCCCACCTGGAAACCTGTGTATGGCCAGCTCCCCCTTGGTCTGGGGTAAAAAACATCCTCAAAAATATTTGTCTTTGCTTCAAAGACGGGGTCAGAACCCAGACCTGTCCCTGATGGCTGCTCTGTGCTCTCTCACCCCACAAACCTGTCCCTGATGGCTCCTCTGTGCTCTCTCACCCCACAAACCCCACAGACCAGCCCCTCATGGCTGCTCTGTGCTCTTCTCACCCCACAAACCCAGGCCTGTCCCTCACGGCTGCTCTGTGCTCTCTCAGCCTACAAACTCAAACCTGTCCCTCATGGCCGCTCTGTGCTCCTTGCACCCCACAGACCTGTCCCTCATGGCCGCCCTGTGCTCCTCTCACCCCACAAACCCAAACCTGCCCCTCATGGCCGCCCTGTGTTCTCTCACCCCACAAACCTGCCCCTCATGGCCACTGTGCTCTCTCCCCACAGCAAGAAGGCCGGGGAGGATCCAGCAGCGCTGGCCCCGCTCTTCGGGCCCCCGCTGGAGTCGGCCTTTGAGGAGGCCAAGCTGGAGGGTGAGTTTGGGACGTGGAGGGGAATTTGGGGCTGGGGTGAGGGCATCTGGGGCATGGCAAGTGACTTTGGGGCCAGGACAGGTGAGTCTGGGGCCGTGGTGGGTGAGTTTGGGAACCTGGTGATTTGGGGCCAGGGTGAAGGAGCTTAGGGACCTAGTGAGCTTGGGGCTGGGACAGGTGAGTTTGGGGCCAGGATGAGTGAGTTTGGGGCATGGCAAAGTGAGTTCAGGGGCCTAGTGAATTTGGGGCTGGAGTGAGGGAGTTTGGGCCAGGATGAGTGAGTTTGGGGCATGGCAAGCAAGCTTGCGGACTTGGTGTTTGAATCTGGGGACAGGGTGAGTTCGGGGCTGGGGTGAGGGGGTTTTGGGGACAAGGTGAGCTTGGGGCCAGGACAGGTGAGTTTGGTGAAAGGGCGAGGGATTTTGTGCCCATGGTGGGTGAGTTTGGGGCACGGCAAGTGGGTTTGGGGACTTGGTGATTGGGTTTGGGGACAGGGTGAGTTTGGGGCTGGGGTGAGGGACTTTAGGCTGTGGTGGGTGAATTTGGGGACCTGGTGAGTGAATTCAGTTACAGGGCGATTTTGAGGCCTTGGCAATTTTGAGGCCTTGGTGAGTGGCTTTGGGGCCATGGTGGCTTTGGGGCCATGGTGGGTGAGTCTGGGGACATGGTGAGTGACTTTGGGGCCACGGTGGCCTCTCCTGTCAGGGACATGGGAAGGTTCTCAAGCCCTGGCAGGAGCAAAGTCCCCATTCCTGGAGGGGTTTCAGAGCTGTGTGGATGTGGCACTTGGGGACGAGGTCAGGGGTGGAACTGGACGTTCCATGGGCTCCGAGGCCTTTTCCAAGCTGGACAATTCCCGGATTCCCAGGTTCCCAGCCCTCCTGCTGGAGGAGGAAGGAGCCCAGGCAGGGGTTGAAGGACAGGTGATCATGTCCAGGGTTAATTCGGGCTGGGTGGAAACAGCAAGTGCTTAAGTCAATTAGTTAATTATGAGGTCTGGGAGAGATCCTGACAGGGAACAGCTCAAGAACATGAAAACTCAGCATTTTCCAGCCAAACCTTCACCCTGGAGCAGAGTTTTTTAACTCCATCCAGGATTTTGGAGGCAACGGTTGGACAAGCCTTGTACCCCTCCATGCCTAGGAAATGCCATCTCAAAAATGTCATTTTTCCCTCCTTTAACACAGAGACACTTTGCTTCTTTCCAAAGCTGATTTTCCCAAAGCACAGGAACCTTGCAAGACTTGTTTTCCCCAAAACCAACCCCATCCATGCCCTGGAGCGGGTTCTTCCCAGAGATCATCATCTCCTCCTCCTCCTCCTCCTCCTGGAGGGCCACTGCCCTCGTTAAGTCCTGTCATTAATGCCTCCAGTTAATTCTTTTAATCAAAGCAACGTTTGCAAGCAGTTCTCTGCACAAAAACTCCAAGAAATCGAAATTATATACAAAAATATCTTCTTTTTTCCCCCCCTTTATTCTCTGGGATTACAATTATCTTTTAATTTTGCTACCTGATGGGTTTTTTTTGTTTGCATATCCTAAAATTCCAGACCACTTTGGCCATCAATACAATGTTTTCCTTCCCACAATAAGCCTCCAAGTCCATCCCTGGCATTGTTTTGTTTGTCAAGCAGCATAAGTGTCAAACTAATTGCACATCCTGCTTCAAAATCGGACAGGATTTTAATTATCCACCGTTACAGAACCCCCTGTCCTTAATTAATGAGGTTTCTGTCACTGTCTGGGCCCTCTTTTCCCAGAGCCTCAGTGTCTCATCCGTGTGTTTGGGTGATGGGAAGAGAACATTTGGATGTTTCATTGCTTTCAAATGTTTATTTTTGATTTTTCAGCTGCTCTGGACCAGCCTGAGATATGGGGGTCAGTCCAGCCCATCAACACAAACGTAGAGTCCCCAAAACTTCCAAGACCTTTCCCAACTGGAAGTAAGTGACCATGGAAATAATTTAATACATCCAGAAATCAGGTCAAAGATTTGAGCTGTCCTCATCCAGACTGTGCAGTTCCGTGATATTTTAAATTAAAGGAGATTTTTTTCCCTTTGTTTGGCTCGGGTGACAGCACTGTGGGGTGCAGGAGGGAGTGGGATTGATAAGGGCTGCAGGGATGGGGTGGATCCTGATCCTGCACGTTCATGCCGAGGTTACTTGGCTGGAAAAGTGGGAAGCACCGGTTTTTCCAGGATAACATCAGGGAGAGCAGCTCAGCCCCAGTCCCGGATTTTTATTGCAGCTTTCCCTCTGCCCGGGGCAGCTGCGGAGCCGTTTCCTCTGCAGAAATGCCCCTGTAAAGCACAGCAGGTTAATTAGCCGCTGTTAATTAGCCCCAGCGTTGCCGATCCCGGATCCACATCCTGGATCCACGTGGGATGGGCACGGCAGAAAGGCGGAGGCAGCTCCGTGCCTCGGAGGATCCAGGTTTAATTAAAATGCTAATTTAGGGGGTTGAAACAGCAGATGTAAAAAAAGGGGGAAAATTCCATCAAACCCGGCAGAAATGGCTTCCCGCTGCCAGAGGGCAGGGAGGGATGGGTATTGGGAAGGAATTAATGGGATGTTGGGAAGAATTCCTCCTTGTGAGGGTGGGGAGGGGTGGGATGAATCCCCAGAGCAGCTGTGGCTGCCCCTGGACCCCTGGCAGTGCCCAAGGCCAGGTAGGACACTCAGCCCTGCCTTGTCCCCTTTTCCCAGACACCCCGCGGGCTGTCCCTGCTGCTCTCCGGCTGAACTCTCCCCTCTCTCTGCTCTCTTTCAGCCCCTCCGCCGCTCCCCCCGAAGAACATCCCGGCCACGCCGCCGCGCACCGGCTCCCCCCTGCCCCCGGCCATCGGTAACGGCTCCGGGGGACACCGGGGGGACAGGGACAGCAGCCCCGGCTCGGGGGGGGGACAGGGACAGCCCCAGCCCTGTGGTGGCACTGGGGGTGACACATCCCATCCCCAGCTCTGGGGGGACACATCCCTGTGGCAGCATTTTGGGCATGGATTTGATCCCTGTGCATCCTCTACCCTTGGAATTCGGAGAATTCCAGGCTGGGCTGGGCTGGGAGGAATTTCTGTCCTGTCCCAGGCTGCTCCCAGCCCCGGGGTCCAGCCTGGCCCTGGGCACTGCCAGGGACCCAGGGGCAGCCCCAGCCCTGAGGTGTCTCAGTGGATGCTGCAGTAGAAGCAGCACAAAGATGATTTTGCATCCCAAGTCGGTCTCACCCTGGTGAAATTAATGTTCTTTACACCATCCCTGCCTTTGGGAATGCAGTGCAGGATTAGCCTCAACATCCTGCTGAAAACCAGGATATACTCCCAATTCCAGAGCCTTGCACAGCCTGTGCTGCAGAAAACTAGAGCTGTGCAGGGTCTGCCTGTGGCAGGAGCTGCTCCTGCCTTCCCTGCCTCCAAATCCCTGTTGAGAGGTGGGAAAAGCCCCCCTGACCCTGCAGCCCGGGAAATGGTGCTGGGAATGAAGGACAGGGAAGGGAAATGGTGCTGGGAATGAGGGGCAGCCCGAGGGCAGGGACGGAAAGGTGTTGGATGCAGCCAGAGGACATCAGGTGCTGCTTCCAAGCATATAATTCATGGTGCTGGCTGGTGGGAAAGCAGGGTCTGAGCAGGGCGGGCTGGTGGGGCCAGCCAGAGCCCCTCGGGGTGAAACCCCTGTGCCACGAGAAGCCCCTGCTCTGTCCATCCCCATCTCATCCGTGCTCCCAAATCCCAGTGTTCCAGGCTGGCAGGGAGTCCATGTCCATCCATCCATTCCCAGCAGCAAATGCCTGATCATTTGCTGGGCTGTGCCTTGTGTATTTGTGAAGCAAATGGCTGAGGTCTGGTTTTGTCTGGTTCAGCAAATCCCTATTTTATCCCCCCCACCCTAAATGTGGATCCCCAAAACAGAGGAGCAGGGGTGGGGTGATGCTGCCATGAAGATCCCAGAGGGCATTTATTGTCAGGCTCTCCCTTCCCTGGATGTGAAATGCTTGGCTGGTGGATCTGTGGTGGTTCTGGAGTCAGGTGGGAGTGTTGCTGTGTGGTGGCTCAGTGAGCAGAGCCCTGAACTCCCCATCTGTGTGTGCCCTAAAATCTCAATCTGTGCCCTAAAATCCTGACCTGTTCCTGCTTGTGGCTGGATGCATTCCCCGTGGCTGGAATACACTCCCTGTGTGCATCCTGTGCTGCATGCCCAGACTCCAGCAGTGTGCAACCAGCATGTCTGAATATATGTATTTATACCTGAGTGTTTATAAATATATATATGGAGGGAGTGGGGCGTGCCAGAGCGCTGAGTGCACACCTTTGGTACCTGCTGATAAACCAGAGTTGCTGATAAGGATGTGATGTGGTTTAGAGGACACAAAAGGCTGTGAATTTGGGATTCTTGGCTGTGAATTTGGGAATCTTGGCTGTGAGTGCTGGCTCGTGGTGGTGCATGCTCCCTCCTCCAGCCTTTGGATCCCGCGGGATTCATTCCATGTCGCACCTGGCTGTGGTGGAAACGTTCTTGCCCATGAATTATATAAATATAGATAAGAAAAGGTGATTTTAGAGCCTCTCCCGTAGAAGTAGAGCCCGTAGAGAGTAGCGCAGCCCTCGCTTAACGCCCGGTGTAAAATAAACCTCCTCTGACCGCAGGAGGGGACCAGGCAGCAGCAGCAGAGCCCAAACGGGACAAACTCCCGTCCATCAATGACTTGGACAGCATTTTTGGCCCCGTGCCGTCCCCCAAATCTGCTGCCGCCACGGCGGAAGACAAGTGGGTCAATTTTTCCGATCAGTCCCCGGAGAACGCGCCTCCGGAGCTGTCGCCCCGGGACAAGGCGGCGTCCCCGGCGGGCAGCCCGGCCCGCGCCCCGGCCGAGCCTCCCCGCCCGCTGCCCTCGCCGCTGCAGCTGGAAGACGCTCCCAAGAAGCTCCCCGAGCAGCCCCACGTTAAGGACGATTCCGCCGAGCCCGTCGCCTCTCCCAAAGATTTTGGGGCGGGCCAGAGAGGGACCCCGCCGCCCCCTCCGCCGCCCACGTACCGCGCCGTGGTGTCGTCGCCCGGGCCGGGCGCCAGCACGGGAAGCGCCAGCGGTACGTGCTGAGCTCGGGTGTGCTGCCGTGTGGCCCCGGTGCCCCTCCCGCCTGGCTGTGTCCCTGCTGCCCGCCCGTGTCCTGCGCCTCCCGTGTGCTTCCCTCCCTCCCTGAGCGCCCGGGAGCCTCTCCCGGAGCCTCTCCCGGAGCCCTCCCCGCCCCAATCCGGGCACGGGCTTGGTGGTGTTGTGGTTGTTGTTGTTGTTGTTGCGGCTGTGCTCTCCGTGGGGATGGAACGGTTCAGGTGAACGGTCTGAGCGAGCCTCAGATCAGGGCTGGGGTGTTTGTTTTAATCACGTCCTCTCACCCCGGTAATTCCCGGTGGGAATGGTGCTCGGCTCTTCCTGGCTCTGGGTGTGGATGGGGAGATGTGTTCTGGGGTGAACCTCTCCCCCGGGAGAAGCTGCTGGCTCTGCCTGCTTTCACCTGTTTAATTATAGATGTTCATTAAGGCAAACGAGCCGGGGAGGCTCGGCTTACTGGCACCCCTTGCCTGAGGAGCTGCAGCCTGAGCCTGTTCTCTTAGGGCCTGAGCCCAGCTCAGCCCTGTGCTCCCACCCTGCATCCACCCAAGGTGATTTTGGGGGCAATCAGAGCCTTGAGGAACCTGCACTGGTGGTGGGGTGGGTGTGCAGCTCCATGTCTGACCCCTGCCACCCTCCTGGTGGGAGCTCGGGGTTTGTGTCACTGCCCGGGGGATTTGTCACCGCCAGGAGGGTGCCCTGAGTGTGGCTGGCGCTGCAGATGTGGCTTTGCTTCAGTGCTGGTGGCTTTTCTGTGCTGGCTCGGGGGGTGGGCAGGGTCCCTGTGGGGGCTGGAACTTCTCCAGGAGCTTCCAGGAGCAGGACACACCAGGATCCATCCCGCACTGCTCTCCTGGCTGCTCCCAGCCGAGCACAGGATGGAGGCGTGCCAGGGCTCCTCCCAGATGGAGAAGCCTGGCCCAGAAGATCCACAGCCCTGCTCCAGGAATTGCCTCCTGTCTCAGTCTGGGCAGCAATGGGAAATGAAAAATCCACACAAAAACGTGCAAATCCTCCAAACGCTGCAGCAGAGTGTGTGGCACTGACCCAGCACCTGTGCCACCCTCTCGCCTTTCCAAGGCTGGGTTTTGGGTGCTGTGGAGCAGAGCCAGCCCAGGATCTGCCCTCAGAGCCCTGGGTGTCACCAAGGCTCTGTGCAGGGTCACGGTGGAAGGGCTGGGTTGGAAGGGACCTCAAAGCTCCCCTTGTTCCAACCCCTTCCACCACCCCGTGCTCTCCAAGGCCAGCATTCACACTGATTTCTGATTCCGTGCTGGTTTCCACATGCTCTCAGTTTCTGCAGTAGGAAATGTCCATTCCCTGGCTGGAAGCCACCATCTGGCCAGGCTTTGGCTACCTGGTGGCCACAGACCCCTCCCTGACACTCGGTCCTGCAAGGTTCTTTTTCCTCAATATTTCCTGTTGTCTCTGGCTTTTCTTGGGATAAGGAAGGAAAAATTCCAACTTTGGTTCCCAAATTAGGCTTTGAAATAAAAGTGGCTTGAATTTTGGAGTTGTGCAGAGGAATGACTGGAATTTATTCCCTTTAAGCCAGGCCCTTTCTTGTCTGAGCCTGCTCTCCTTCACCTCTTCTTGTTTTAATAAATCTAGCTTTGATCTTTGCTAAATCTGAGCTATCACCCAAAGAACTCAGGAAATTATTCTCTTGTAAGTGGGAAATTATGAAGTTATCATCTCCTCAGTCTGAGCCATGAGCTGCTGAGCTCCACGGAAGCTGGTGGCAAACACTGCTCAGCTGTCCTGGCACTGAGCTCTGAGCTCCCTCCCATTCCTGCTGCCCTTCATGTCCTGGTCCCCCTCTGCCTGCTCTGCCCAGCTCCAGGTCTTGCTGGGCTTCTCCTGGAAGGAATTCCTGTGTGTGGAGCCAAGCAGGCTCCTGGATCTCCCGTGAGGCTCCTGTTGGAATCCCCATTTGGTCACAGAAATCCCCCTCTGCAGCAGGGGCTGTGTGAGCCCTGAGCTCAGCTCCCTTTTTCGGGAGGATTTGGTGGGTTGGGAGCTGTGTTGTGCTCCCAGCAAATCCCAGAACCTTCCTCTTCCACCCTTCCCCTCCTTTGCTGGGCCAAGCCTTGCCCTGTGATGAGGATCTGTTGTATTTGTGGGGTGCCCCGTGGCAGGGAGGAATGATGAATCTGACTCCATGTTCTCAGAAGGCTAATTTATTATTTTATCATACTATATTATATTAAAGAATACTAAACTATACTAAAGAATATAGAGAGGATGCTTACAAAAGGTTAAAAAGATAATGATGAAAACTCGTGACTGTCACCAGAGTCTTGATACTGATTGGCCAATAAGTCAAAACAATTGACATGAAACCAATGAAACAATCTCCGAACACATTCCACATGTGAGCACAACACCAATGACATTAGAATTTGTTTTCCTTTGTCTCTGAGGCTTCTCAGCTTCCCAGGAGAAAATCCTGGCGGAAGGGATTTTCCAGAAAATATGACTGTGACGAGGGTCCCTACCTCCCAGTTGTGCCAGCCCTGGAGCAGCGTTCCATCCACCATCCCATCCCTCCTGCCCGTATTTTTGGTGAAGCTGTACGATGTCAATTTTGCAGAGAGAACCGGGCTCCGAGCAGCCCCTGCCAGGATCCCACGGGCATCATCCCTCCTGGAGTGTTCCGTGCACTGCTGCTGGGCTGTGCCCCCGTCAGGGGCAGCTCCTGGGTGGGCAGGGCCGGGCAGAGCCCGCGGGCACTCACGGCTCCCGTTGTTTGTTCCCTGCAGGTTCCTCGTCCCCGGCCCGGCCCGGCACGCCGCTGGCCCCGTGTGGCACTCCCCCGCCGCCGCCGCCCCGGCCCCCGTCCCGGCCCAAGCTGCCCCCGGGCAAGCCCCCCGTCAGCGATGTGGTACGTGGGCAGGGCTGGGGGCACGGCAGGGCACTGCCGGGGGCGGCGGGCGGCGTTCCCAGTGCGGAATGGGGCAGCGGAGTGGGATGAGCCAGCCGCGGTCGCTGGGATGGGATGGGTTCCTCTGGGATCTGTGAATCCCCGTGGGAAGGGCTGTGCCACCTCTGCTCTGCCAGCCTGGTGATGCCAACCATGGTGCTCAGCCAGGGCAAGGGCAGGGAGAGGGCTGGGGTGGGAATGTGCTCTGGAAAGGGTCTGGGGGCAGAGCAGAGCAATTCCAGCCTCCCCAGGAGCGATGCCAGCTCAGGGCGAGGGCTGGGAGAGGGCTGGGGTGGGAATGTGCTCTGGGAAGGCTCTGGGGGCAGAGCAGAGCAGAGCAATTCCAGCCTCCCCAGGAGCGGTGCCAGCTCAGGGTGAGGGCTGGGAGAGGGCTGGGGTGGAAATGTGTCCCAGGAAGGGTCTGGGGGCACAGCACAGCAGTTCCAGCCTCCCCAGGAGCGATGCCAGCTCAGGGCTGTCCTGTGCGCCAACCCAGGCTGCTCCAGGTAAGGCGTGAGGGCTTTGGGGTGATGCTGAGGGTACAAAATGACCTCCAAAGTATTCCTGAGGGCCTGGGGAGCTGGCACCTGGTGGGCACTGCTCCCTGCCCAGTGCCCAGCCCATTCCATCCATGCCACGGCCCCTGGAGCTCCCACCCTCGGTGTGGATGGGTGGAATCTCCACACCCACCCCCACAGTGGTGGGGATAATCTATTTTCCCAGCTCCAAGCTAAAATGCCATTGGTACTAAAACAACTCAAGTAATTCTAATTTTCCCTCTGGGGCACTGGCAGAGCAGTCAGGAGACTCCAGGCGAAATTTTATTTGTTTGATGCAAATGTTTCTGTTTGGATTTTCTTTAACTCTGTGTTGTTTTGTGTTTCTCTCCAGTCCAGGCCTTTTAGCCCTCCCATCCACTCCTCCAGCCCTCCTCCGATAGCACCTTTAGCCCGTGCTGAAAGTACTTCTTCCATTTCTTCCACCAATTCCCTGAGTGCAGCCACCACTCCCACCGTTGGTAAACACACGCAGCACTGCTGTTCTTTCACCTTTCCTAATCCTCCAGTAACTCCTGAGGCCTCTTCATTCCCTTGGTCATTCCCTGGGGTTGGATTCCGTTGGTTTCCATCAGGGTTTGAAATGCTGAAAGGGATTTGAGGGGGGTGATGGATCAGGAGGGTGATGCTACGAGGAAAGTTTTTCCAAATGTTGTGGGAAATGGATGTGTGGTGAAAGTCAAGGGAGTTGTAGCAGAAAATGTGGTTCTGGGCTGTAAATTGGGGCAAAATAAGCTTTTTTTGCAGGGGATGCTTGTGCCTGGAGGGGAGCGGGGCTGGAAGCCAGACCTTGGGATCCAGGGATATTAAACCTCTTGGAATGTCTTAAATTCACACTCGCCCTTAAAGCAGTAACAGAAAAGGGGTCTTGGAAAAGAAAGTGGCTCTTCCCAGCACGTCCTGGGGCAGAACCAAACGCTGCAGTTTTCCTGGGAAAAGTGGGGTTTGCCAAAACCCCGGGGCTGAGATGAGGAATGGGAACCGAGTCTGGCTGGCAGCTCCCAGCTCCAGGCGCTGGGTCCCCCCACGCCTCCCCCTCCATCCCCTCTGTCCCCTCCTGTCCCCTCTGTCCCTGCTGCCGGCGCTCCCCCTCCTCTTCCTCCTCCTCCACCCCTGGCTGCCAGCCCTGCCCCTCGCTTCCTGCGGCTCCATCTCCTCCAGGATCACCTCCCTCCCCTGTCTTTGCTCCCCAACCCTCTGGAAAAGCCGGCCTGGCGGGAGTTCCCGTGCGCCCGGCGTTTGTCACCGCTGTCCCCGCGGGGAGCGGTGGCGCTGCTGTCACCACCCCCGTGACGGCGCCGTCCCCGCGGTGCCGCTGGCACCGAGCCCTCCCCGTGGCTTTGCTGGAGTCTCGACTGCGTCTCCGTCCTGTGTCACCTCACTCTCAGGTGTTGTGGGTGCCTGTCCCGGCTGTTGGTCACTGTCACAGCGCCTGGCTGGAACAAATGTCACCAGGACAGCGAGCCCTGAGCGTCCCCCGCGCCTCTGGCAGTGCCTGGGGGCACGGTGGCCACAGGGACACGGCGTTAGGGGAGGGGACACCAGGCTGAGGACAGGGACAGTCCCAGGGGCTGCGGGAGGCTGGGAAGGGTGGTGGGAGCGAGCTGAGCTCTGCCACCCCAGCTCCCTCAGGCTCTCCGTTTAGATTTCTTTTTTTCTCTCTTATTTTTGGGATCAAAAGCTGCTGTTTGCTGATTGAGTGACCTCCCCGTGCTGAGCAGAGGGGATGAGGTGCTGGGCTGGGAGGAGAAGCTGGGGTCCCACACCCTCCATGGAGATTTCCTTGGAGCAGAGCCAAAATCGGGGCTCTGGGGTCACCCCTGGCCAGGGAACTCCAAAGGGGGCAGCCGGGAGGGGCATCCCAGATTTTGAAGGTGTTGCACTTCCAGCTCCATGCAGAGATTATGCTGAGTGGGAAGGGACCCACCAGGATCATTTATCCAACTCCTGTCCTGTACAGATGCCCAACAATCCCACCCTGGGTATCCCTGGCAGTGCTGTCCAAACGCTCCTGGAGCTCTGGCAGCCTCGGGGCTGTGCCCATTCCCTGGGGAACCTGGGCAGTGCCAGCACCCTCTGGATGAGGACCATTTTCTGCTGGCATCCAGCCTAAGCCTTGGGAAAAGCTGGATGGGGCACAGGCAGAGACAGACAGGGTTTGGGATCTGCTTTGGGAAAGCGTCTCCTTGTCCCCACCGAGGCCAGAGCAGGGACTGGTGCTGGGTGAGCATCCAGGGAAACCCACAGCAGAGGAGGGACACATTCCAATTCCCATGAGAGGGAAATCTGGGCTGGGAGGTGTGCAGGATGGTCAGGTCTGGGATCAGGGACTGCTGCAAGTCCCGGGGGCCTGGGACACCCCAGTCCAGCTGGGGCTGGAGTCTGGCTCCAGCACATTCCCCATCTCCCGTGCCCTGTGGCAAAGTCCCACGGAGTTTGTCCGGGAGCAGGGGCAGGGCTGCTCCATCCCCGTGTCCTCCGTGCTGCTCTGGTGTGCTTTCCTCGTTGGCTGCATGTCAGTCTGGACAATTCCTGGCACAGCAAGGAGCTCTGTGGTTCCCGTGTCGGTGCCCCTCCGTCATCTCTGTCTCTGCGTTGGTACAAGTGCGCTGCTTGGTTTCACTTGGGATCCGTGTTTTCATTCTTTTTGTGCTCTTTTTTTTCCTTTCTTTTCTTTCTTTCTTTGTTTCCTTTGCGTTTCTTCTGCTTGTGTTATCAGAGGATGATGCTTTTATTGACAAACTGCCCGCGTTTGAGGGGCGCAGTGAAACGCCGGCAGGTACTGTACTAGCAGGGAATTGCCGAGAATTCCGCCCTCGGAGCGGCACCCACCGCTCGCAGCACCTTGCATGACAGTTTCTCAGTGACTCAAAGGACTCGGAGGTGGAAGGTTGGCACCTCCCGAATTCCAAAAGGTTCATTTAGCAGCTCCAAAAGCTGTTTGCCCCACGCCCCCCTCCGGCCCTCACATCCCGAGTTATGGCAGCGCGGTGGAGCGCAGGGAGCTGGCTGTGATGGGAAGGGAAGGCTCCAGCTAGGATCCGCTGCTCTGTGTGCGTGTGTCCGGTTCTCTGCAAGTGTCGTGTCCTGAGGTGCGAGAGCAAGCAGCCACGTGTCACTGTCCCTGAGTGTCACTGCGGGGCGGCGTGCGGAGCAGCATCCGCCGGGAATGCTGAGCAGCGCCGGCCCCGCTCCGCGCAGGCGGAACCCGGAGCGCATGAGCCGACAAACCTCTTCTACCGCGGCCAAAAAAAGCGAGAGCACCCCTGCGAACCGCTCGCCCGGCGGGCAGAACGACTCTTCCATCTGGGCTTCCATAGCTTTGCTTCCCGCTTTCTGTCCCCAGCCGGCGACCGCTGTCACGCCCCTGTCCCTGCACGTGTGACCGCCCTGCAGCGCCTCGCCCCCTCCCCGTAGCGACATTAATGACCTGCTCTGTGACTCACACTGTGTCCTTCTCTCTCCCTCTCCTTAACCTTTCCCATCCCGCTTCAACTCCTGGCCATACAGAGAATGAACAGCCTTCCCTCGTTTGGTTTGACAGAGGAAAGTTTTATTTGACTTTCGAAGGTAAGTAGCGCCAAGCACAGCCGGTAACCGCTCGCTCCCCTCGCTCTCTCGCTCCCGGGGTTCCCTTCCAAGGCTCCATCCAATCCAGCTTTCCGGGCTCCATCCAACCCAGCTTTCCGTGCGGAATGCTATGGCTACTTAGATGACATCGCCAGTCCGACCGGAATCGGTTTGATTTGATTTGGTTTGTGCCATTTGTCCCGCTGATCTCTTTTTTTTTTTTGCCACGTTGATTTCATTTTCAAAAAAAAAAAAAAAAAAAAAATCCGACCCAAGCAAACCAAAAGCCCAAAGAACATTGCGGATATTCCCAGACGGAGGTGAAAACCAGGGAGCGGAGCCGCTTGCGCTGCCGAGGAACCCGACCCTGCCAGGCAGGGCTCTCCCCGCCGGCTCCCGGAGCTACTGTGGGCGATTCCAGCCCCGAGGAGCCGCTGCCCCTGCGCTGCTCCGGGCAATTCCAGCCCCGAGGAGCCGCGTCCGCTGCCCCTGCGCTGCTCCGGGCAATTCCAGCCCCGAGGAGCCGCGTCCGCTGCCCCTGCGCTGCTCCGGGCAATTCCAGCCCCGAGGAGCCGCGTCCGCTGCCCCTGCGCTGCTCCGGGCAATTCCAGCCCCGAGGAGCCGCCTCCGCTGCCCCTGCGCTGCTCCCGTCCCGCTGTGGGCACGAAGAGCTCCGGGGTGCGCTGGCACTGCCAGCACCGCCCGAGCCGGGCCAGGCTGTGCTGCTGGGGTGCTCGGCTGCAGCTGCCGGAGGTTTTGGGCTCCCTCGTGGATGAGGGGCGCTGGGGAGGGGAAAACCTCGGTTTGGGCCCGATGGCACCTTCTCCGAGCTGTGTCACATCCCAGAGAGGACAACCCCCCCAGGCTTTGGGGGCAGCCTCATCCCGCAGGCACGGAGCCGACATTTCCTTTCAACAGCAGAAGGAGAGGCAGGGGTTTGCCTGCAGCGGGGAGGGATTCCCGCAAATCCCGGGGAAGCACCCGGGAGCTGCTGTGCTGCCTGCAAAGGAGGGGCCTGGGGTGGCACTGCCTGGCTGGGGAGCTCAGAACTGCCCCAGGATGGCACTGCCTGGCTGGGGAGCTCAGAACTGCCCCAGGATGGCAGTGCCTGGCTGGGGAGCTCAGGAGTGGCCCAGGATGGCAGTGCCTGGCTGGGGAGCTCAGGAGTGGCCCAGGATGGCAGTGCCTGGCTGGGGATGGAAGGGATGGCCCAGGATGGCAGTGCCTGGCTGGGGAGCTCAGAACTGCCCCAGGATGGCAGTGCCTGGCTGGGGAGCTCAGAACTGCCCCAGGATGGCAGTGCCTGGCTGGGGAGCTCAGAACTGCCCCAGGATGGCAGTGCCTGGCTGGGGAGCTCAGAACTGCCCCAGGATGGCAGTGCCTGGCTGGGGAGCTCAGGAGCGGCCCAGGATGGCAGTGCCTGGCTGGGGAGCTCAGGAGTGGCCCAGGATGGCAGTGCCTGGCTGGGGAGCTCAGGAGTGGCCCAGGATGGCACTGCCTGGCTGGGGAGCTCAGGAGTGGCCCAGGATGGCACTGCCTGGCATGGACTCCTTGGGCTCATGGAGCAAACCCATCCTGGTGACAGTGATGGCTGAGCAGCAGCAGGAGGCAGGGATCAAGGTGGTGACCAGGGGGTTTAGGTCCTTCCTTTCCTCCTTTTTCCAAGGTCCCCTCTCTGACAACTCCCACTTTCATGTCCCAGCTCCAATGGCATCTCCCAGCTCAGATCCAGGAGGGGTCATGCAGGACCTGCTTCCTCCTGGTGCTCAGGGCAGTTTTGGTGTCTCCAGCAAAATCCCTGTTTGGATTTCCTTTCTCAGGGGCTTGTTGGGAACACTGGGAAGAGCTGAGGACAGCAGGGACAGCGTTATCCCTCAGCAGGAACATTCCAGCTCCACATTCCCCTTGCTCCGTGCTTCCTCCCTGCCCCTCGCCCAGTCCAGCACCAGCACTGCACACCTGGGGCTTTTCCTGTGCCTTGGAATCTTAACCCTGTACTGGAATCCTTGGCCTTGGTTCTGGTGGTGTGAACGGTCTGGAGCTGGGGTGGGGTTATCCCAGGAATGCAGGAGTGTGACACTGCCCCAGGATCATCCCACAGCCCAGCAAGGAGCTGTCTCGCTTCCTCACGCTGGATTTCCTCATTGAGCTCTAAATGTTTAAGCCCAACTTGAAAATCAAAAAATATAAACTTCATGTGCAGGGAAGTGAGAGGAGATCTGCTGAGTTTGGTGTCTGGAACTCAGGGCATGGAATGCCAGAAGACAAATTATGGTTTCCTTCTGGATTTGGTTGTTTTGGGGTTTTTTGGGATTTTTTGGTGGCAAGATCCACGTGCTTGATGAATGTGGGACAGTTTTTCCCTGTGTGGAAGGAGATGTGGTGATGCTCTCATGTTCTGGGATCACTGGCTACTCCACAGCTGCATTTTCCATCTTTTTTGTAGGGAAAAATAAGGCAAATTAAGCTGGTCTGCTGCTTACAGCTGGATCCAAAGCTCCATAAAGTGGATTTATTTTTTTCTCTGTTACTATCAGGTCATTTGTACAACTGAAATGTTCATAAAAATGACTTTTGAAGCAGGAGCTGAAAAGGCAGGTTTGGGGTGGAGCTGTGCCACAGCAACTGCATTTGTCTCTCAGGTTTCTGGACAATAATTGCAATGCTTATAGTAGTTAATACTTTTCTTTTTTTAGTGAAAACATGAGCATAAAAAATAATTTATTCCCTGAAGCCATGAAGAGAAGGATTTACAGATTCATGAGGGAAGAGTGGAGGGAACCAAGAACCCCAATTCCACCCACATGACCTTCAGACCATTAGAAATGAGGATGTTTTGTTGTTGTTGCTGCTCAGATGGACTCACATTCTCCAGCAGCACTGACACAGCCAGAGCACACAGCCTCAAGGGAAATACAGGCTGGACAGCAGGGAAAGCTTTTTCCAGCAAGGTGATAAAGCTCTGGAATGGCTGCCCAGGGAGGTGGTGCAGTGCCCATCCCTGGGTGTGTTTAACAGAGCCTGGATGTGGCACAGGGTGCCAGGGTTTAGTTGGGGTGTGGGGCTGGGTTGGACTCCATGATCTTGGAGGTCTCTTCCAACCCAGTCATTCTGTGAATTTTGGGATTCTGTGAATTCTGTGATTCTGGGAATTCTGTGAATTTCCAGGTGGATGCAGTGGGAAAGTCCCACTGCCAGGGTATTGGCTGTGATTGATGCTCTGAGGGGTCATTGCTGTGGGTGGGCAGCAAGGATTTGCTCCCAGTGGTGTCTTTGGGAAGGATTTTTAGAAAATGTTGTCCTGTGTGTCCCCTCAGTCCTGGAGTTTTGGGGTGTGGTGTCCTGTGGTTTCGGGGACCATGCCCTCATCTGGAACTGTCTGTTCTTCGGTGGGAATTCCAGCAGGGAATCCCTGATGGACATCCTGGGCTGTGGGCTCAGAGCAGGAGGCTCTGGGCTCGTTAGGATAATGAATGTGTGTGTGGCCGTGGGTCTGTGTGTGTGGGTGAGGCATTCCAGGAACAGCAGGACCCACTCCCTGAGCACGCCCATCCCGGCTGCAGCTGCAGTCCCTCATTCCCTGATTCCCCCGGGGGTGGCACCGGCAGGGACACGTGTGGCTGCATCAGGGTTTGGCACTTTTAGGCTGCATTAGGCACTGCAAGGGAAAATCCCTCATCTGAGCCTCCAGGAAAGAGCACTTAGGATTTGTCCATTAACGTGGGTGCCTCGGGGAGGTGTGAGGGTTCCTCCCTGCTGGTGGAAACCATCATTTCTCCCATTAATGTCTCCAAACTCAAAGTGTCATTGAAGTGACAGAAGTGCTTCTCCCAGGGGATGTTGCAAATCCCAATTTCCTGCTCCCAAACCCCTGTTTATTCCCAGGGCAGCAGCAGAGGAAGAAGGGAAGGGACCATTTCTGAGGATGGCCCAAGCAGAAGAGCTCACCAGGAACGTGACACGTTTTGCTCAGCTTTGCTTCCCCCTTATCCTGTGCCTGTGGGAGTGCTGCCCTTCCTGGGGCTGGTGTTGGAATTCCTGTGGCTTTGGAGTTCCTACAGCTTTGGCTGGAGCTGGCAGGTGCTCGTGTGCTCTGAGCAAACTCTGGGCTGGACCTGTCGCCCTTTCCACCTGCCTGGCAGGATGGTGTTGGACTGAGGGGGTCCCTGGATAAGCTGCCCCTCTGGAGTCCTTTGCTGCTCCTTTTTAGCAGATTTAGGGCAAAATAATCCTCGTGCTTCACCTGGTGTACACGATTTTAAAAAGGTTCCAAAATGGTGCATTGCAGGTAATGGATGAGGCTGAAGGGCAGGAGTGACCTCTCTAGGATTTTTTGGGTGTCTGTGGGATCAACACCCAGACATGTGGGCTGATCTTTGGATACTTTCCATGGGGAAGAGGTGTGGGCTTGGCTGTGCCAACCCCTTGGTGGTGGGCACAGGACTTGTGGCCCCACAGAGGGTTTCCAGCACACCTGGAGCTCCTGAGGAGCACTTGCAGTGATGAATTCATCCTCAAATGTCTTTTGGAAACAACAATTCCTGGCCAGCAAAGGGAAACCTGTGTGTGATCCTGCAGGGCTGAATTATTTCAGAGCCTGGCAAGTGTCCAAGGATGCACAGCAACACCAAGGCAAGCTTTTCCCCTTTTCCAAATCACAGAATCCTAGAATGGTTTGGAAAGAACCTTAAATCTCAGCTTGTTCCAGCTTGTTCCACTATCCCAGGTGGCTCCTGTCCAAGCTGGCCTTGGACACTCCCAGGGATGCAGGGGCAGCCACAGTTTCTCTGGACAAGCTGTGCCAGTGGCTCTGTTTTTCCAGGTTTCTGATGATTTGCAGATTTCCTGTCGGGCACTGAGGGTTTCGTGGAGCGAGCGGGGTGTGGAGGATGCTCCAGGCGTCCACAGGGCAGGAGAGCAGAGCAGAGCAGAGTGTGCTGGGGATGGCAGGAGCCCCCTCAGCTCGGGGGGACATCAGGGGGACACTGCCAGCACCCCGATCCCCAGGGTGACACAATGAACCCCCCAGCCCCTCGTTGTGGGCCCCAAAAAGCGACTGCAAAAACTGTCATGCAAAGCCTGCCGTGAGGCAGCCCCGCATGCTGCTCCCGCCTGGCCTCCTCCATCCTTTTCTTTGCTTGCTTTCGGCAGCGGGGCGGGGGCAGAGATCATTTCCCAAACGTTCTAAAGCCTCATCCGAAGCCTGGGGGGTTCTGGTGGTTCTCTGCCCGTGGAGTCAGGCTGGGGGCACGGCGTGGTGCCCGCAGGTGCCAAGGGGGCTCTTTGCTCTGTTGCAGGCTCGTCACGGGGCCCCAGCCCCCTGACCATGGGGGCACAGGACACCCTGCCCGTGGCCGCCGCCTTCACCGAAACCGTCAACGCGTACTTCAAAGGGGCTGACCCCAACAAGTAGGTGCCGACCCCCGGGCTGTCCATGATGTGGGGGGATGAGGGGTTTGTCAGGGATGAGGAGGGGACTGAGGCCTTCCTCTGGCTTTGGTCCAGGGGGTTTTCCACATGCCTTCTGTCCCAGCTGGGTAGCCAGAGACTGATGCCTTGTGCAGGCTGAGCTGGAGCTGAGGCTGTACAGAGTTCCAGAATAAAGAAGGGATTTATTAGAAGGGAACGGATCTCCTCCATGGATGCACCTTGGGCTGCACCCAAGATGAACCAAAATGGCCCCAAAATGCACGAGGGGCACGGGGTCTGTCCCTGGGATCAGTTCTGCTCCATTTGCACCTTGCAGTTCATTGTCCCATTCCAGCTTTAGCCCCTGCAGTCCCACCCTGCTTGTTTTTCTCTCTCCAGCCCACGGTGTTTGTGCTCCTGGGCTGAGATTGGGATCATTTGTCCTTGGTGCCCAGCTGGAGCAGGAATTGTTTTGTCTCCCTGCTCTGTGCACAGAGCTCAGCATCCCTGATGTGAACCCAGACCCACACACTAAAGCAGCTCAGAATGTGAAAATAGAAAAGCCAAAACCCAGGGCATCAGGACAGGAGGTGATGTGGCCTGGGGTGTCCAGGGGCAGGACACTGCTGTGGTGCCCCATTTAAAAATGTTCCTGCTGTGGGAAAGGGAGGTGAGGACTTTGTGTGAGAATCTCAGAGAGCAGCACAGGAAGGGTGGCAGGGGGGCTGCAGCCTTCCCCTCCCGTGCCTGGCCAAAATGGGATGGCATTCAACAGAAACTTGGAGGGGTTTCCCACCTATGTTTAAAGACCCTTTAATAGATAAAACCCAAAAGGACAAACCAAAGACAAAATAATTTCTCTGAAATACTGAATGATAGCAAAAATAAGAAGCTCAAACAGGGTTTATTTAAGAAGATCCCTGTTACCCCTTGTGCTGCTTCTGCTCTCTCTGAGGCCCCCAGGGGCTCAGATGTGTCGGGTGGGAGAGGGCACTGTCCCCACAGCATCCATGGTGCCAGCCCTCCCTCGCTGCTGCCTGTTGAGCCCCCTTTGCTCCCCCTGGCTCTGTGTGCCGGGCGCTGCAGGTGCATCGTGAAGATCACGGGGGAGATGGTGCTGTCCTTCCCGGCGGGCATCACCCGACACTTTGCCAACAACCCCGCCCCGGCCGTGCTCACCTTCCGTGTGCTCAACTTCAACCGGCTGGAGCACGTCCTGCCAAACCCCCAGCTGCTCTGCTGGTAAGCATTCGCCAGCAGCGTCCCAAGGGAGGGCGGCATTCCGGGAGAACGGGGAGTTTGCAGAAATACACGGCCTGAAGTGTCTTCCTTGGAGAGGCGCTGATTGTGGGAGTGAAACTCTCAAATGATCAAACACCTGATGAAATCCCAGAATGGTTTGGGTTGATAGATCATCAGGTTATCCTGGTATCAGGGTTATCCCATGGGCAGAGACACCTCCCATGTCCCAGGCTGCTCCAGCCCCAGTGTCCAGCCTGGCCTTGGGCACTGCCAGGGATCCAGGGGCAGCCACAGCAAATCTGGGAATTCCATCCCAGCCCCTGCCCACCCTCCCAGGGAACAATTCCCAATTCCCAATCTCCCATCCATCCCTGCCAGGGAACAATTCCCAATCTCCCATCCATCCCTGCCCTCTGGCAGTGGGAGCCATTCCCTGTGTGCTGTCCCTCCATCCCTGTCCCCAGTCCCTCTGCAGCTCTCCTGGAGCCCCTTCAGGCCCTGCCAGGGGCTCTGAGCTCTCCCTGGATCCTTCTCCTCTCCAGGTGAGCACCCCCAGGTGTCCCAGCCTGGCTCCAGAGGGGCTCCAGCCCTGCAGCAGCTCCATGGGTTCCTCTGGGCTCTCTCCAGGTGCTGCTGATGTTGTCCCCAGGGCTGGGGCAGCTCTGCAGGTGGGGCCTCACCTGGGAGGGGCAGAGGGGCAGAATCCCCCTTTTGCTGCTGCCCACACTGGGGGATCAGCCCAGCACTGGGGGGTTCTGGATCCCAGTGGAGATGGATCAGGACAAGCCAGAGCTGGGTGGGAGGGAGCCAATGTTCCTCTGGAGGTGGGATTCAGTGCAGACCCTGTGCTGTGTAGAACAGCCCTGTCCTGCCCAGGCAGGTTATCCAAAGGGTTCCTTCTCCTCTGTGCAGTGACAGCGTGCAGAGTGACTCCAACTCCAAGGAGTTCTGGGTCAACATGCCAAATCTGATGACTCACCTAAAGAAGGTATCGGAACAGAAACCTCAAGCCACCTATTACAATGTGGATATGCTCAAATACCAGGTAGGGTTTTTTTGTGAGATAAAACCGTGCCAAAAAAATTTAAAAATAGAAGTGTGCTGATTATGGCTGTAAAAAATGGTAAATGTAAAATAAAAAATGGTAAATGTAAAATAAAAAATGGTAATGTAAAAAATGATGTTTCCCTAGTGCAGAGTGGAGCTAATGTGAGGCGGGGGCTTGTTGTCCCACTGTCCCTTCTGTGTGGCACTGGGTTGTCTGGCCTTAAGCCCAGTACAGAATTCAGGGGGAATTCAAGGTGTTGCCTCCAAGTGCGATGTCCGCGTCTGTAAAATGGGATTTCTCCCTTCAGCCCTACGGAAACTAAATGTTTTTTCTGTCATTTTGGAAGGTGTCTGCCCAGGGTATTCAGTCTACTCCATTAAACCTTGCAGTGAGCTGGCGGTGTGACCCTGCAAGCACTGACCTGCGCATCGACTACAAATACAATACAGAGGCAATGACCACGCCTGTAGCTCTAAACAACGTCCAGTTCCTCGTCCCCGTCGACGGAGGAGTAACCAAACTGCAAGCTGTGCTTCCTCCTGCTGTCTGGTAGGGATTGCTCCTCCTGTCCCTGCCCAGAATGCCCATCCTGCTGCAGGGGGTCTGTGGGTGGGAGCTGGGGACACGCTGGGGACCCAAACCCGCCCTCCTCTTGTAGGAGGAAATGTTAACCCCGCTCTGATTCCCTTTCTCTTGCCATTCCCACAGGAAAATGGTCAGGGATGAAGGGACATGTGCAGGCAGCAGAGCATCAGCCCTTATTTTGTGTTTTGGCTGCTTTACCCAGGGTTTAGAGGGATGCACAGGCAGGTCCTGGTGCAGGGTGCCCAGAGTAGCTGTGGCTGCCCCTGGATCCCTGGCAGTGCCCAAGGCCAGGCTGGACATTGGGGCTGGAGCACCTGGGACAGTGGGAGGTGTCCCTGCCATGGCACTGGATGAGTTTTAAGGTCCCTTCCAACCCAAGCAGTCTGGGATTCTGGGATTCATGGAAGGATGTGTGGCTATTGCTGCCATAGGCACTGGCACATTTCCACGTCTCTTGCTCACCTGCAATCCTCATAACAATCATACAAATATTTTGTTTGAAAAAGCTTTCTAAGACTATCAAGTCCAACCATGACTTGAACTTTCACTTGCTGTGAAACCCAAATCCAAGCTCCCAGAATTGCTGCTCCAGAGAGCAGCACCAGAGTAGTTCCCCACCCCACCACCAGCCTTTATCAAAATTCAAATTACTCCCCGGCAATTCCTTGATTCCTACAGAAATGCTCTTCTCCGTGTGTTTGCAGGAATGCTGAACAGCAAAGGATATTGTGGAAGATCCCTGATATCTCCCAGAAGTCAGAAAATGGAGGTAATCCTGCAAATATGCACATCATTATCTCGGGATCCTTCAGGCAGGCACGGACCCGCTGAGGGTGCCGGCACACAAGCCCAGACACTTGGGTTCCTCCTGGGGATAAAGCCGTTTAATTTTGGAGCTCAAAAAGCAGGGCTGTGTGCCACCAGTGCTGCTTTGCCAGCCACCTTGGCATCCCGAGGGGCATTCACACACCAGGGTGGGGTGCCAAGCCCTGGGCTCCCCTCTGAGGGAGGCTGAGGCCCTGTTGGGAGTGTTGCTGTGTCCCACGGGAGGTTTTCCAGGTGGGAAGCTGTTCCCAGCGCTGGGGTGTGTGAACAGCCGAATGCTGCTGGGAGGATGAGGGGTTTGGCTGTGCCCGCCCAGGGATGCTATGGCTGGGGTGGCGCTTTGGCCACCGTGCCGGGATGCTCCGAGTGCCCTCACTGGCTCTCTCCGGTTTCCATCGCAGGTGTGGGGTCGCTGCTGGCGCGGTTCCAGCTGTCCGAGGGGCCGAGCTCGCCGGCCCCGCTGGCCGTGCAGTTCACCAGCGAGGGCAGCACCCTGTCCAGCTGCGACATCGAGCTGGTGGGCGCCGGCTACCGCTTCTCCCTCATCAAGAAGAGGTTTGCGGCAGGTGAGTGTCCCCGCAGGTCCCCCTGGCCGTGCCGGCGTGCCGGGAGCGCTGGTGCTGTGTGTCTGTACGCTACAGCTCGGGCAGGGGGACAGACGGACAGACTGCGTGAAATAAATCCTGCTGCCACCCGCCAGCCTGGGGTTCCATGGCTCATGCCTGCTCCTGCAGGAACGGCAAGGGCTGGCATCTCCAGGGCATCTCCAGGAAGAGCTTTTGCCCCCTTGCTGCAGAGAATAACCAGGATTTTCCTTGTGTTCATAACTGTAGAGAATAACGAGGATTTTTCCTCATTGCTGCAGAAAATAGCAAGGATTTTTCCTCATTGCTGCAGAAAATAATGAGGATTTTTCCTCACGGCTGCAGAGAATAACGAGGAGTTTTCCTCATGGCTGTAGAAAATAACGAGGATTTTTCCTCATGGTTACAGAGAATAACGAGGATTTTTCCTCATTGCTGCAGAGAATAATGAGGATTTTTCCTCATTGCTGCAGAAAATAAAAAGGATTTTTCCTCATGGCTGCAGAGAATAACGAGGATTTTTGCCCATGGTTGCAGAGAATAACGAGGATTTTTCCTCATGGCTGTAGAAAATAACGAGGATTTTTCCTCATGGTTACAGAGAATAACAAGGATTTTTCCTCATGGTTACAGAGAATAACGAGGATTTTTCCTCACTGCTGCGGAGTATAACGAGGATTTTCCCGTGGGCAGTTAGGGCTGGTGGAGGTGGGCAAGAACTCCTGGGAATCAGGGCTGCTCCCTCCCCCCAGCTGATTTCTGATCCCGTTTCTAGGTAAATATTTGGCGGATAACTGATGGAAGCTTATGCAAGTCCATGGAAAATACTATGGAAAATACCCAAGGACTGCTGTGCGTGGAACGGGTTTTAATTACAGTTTAAGGAAAATGAACTAAATCCTGAACTCGGGACATTTCTGTTGGAAGTGTCGACAACTTTCAGCATTTTTTTTCCTTGGAAAACACCGTCTTGACCAGTCCTCCAGTATTTACTTCTAGATGTAACATTGTTAATGGTTTTAAAATGTAATTATTGTATTTGTAAATTGTACTCATTCCAGTAAGGCTGTATTTTGGCAGTTAGACACTTGAGTTTTAGCATTTTACCATTCATGAAATGGATGTAATTTAAACTGTGGTATATAAATCTAATAGTAGTACTGTTGAATGGCACAATGCTTACAGAGGTAGATTGCATTTTGTCAATATATACAATTTAAATACGATACTGGTAGCTGTTATGAAGGGGGTGCCTCATCAAAAGAGAGCTCAGTAGGGCCCACAGGCTGATTTAGTTTTCCTTCAGTCCTTCGTACGTCTCACAGCAATCAATAAAAACCTTCAGGTTTACCTGGTTTAACTCCAGAAAGATATTCTTGGAAAGGTGGAGGTTCCTAGGACAGTCTCCCAGGAAGGAAATCTCACTTCTGCAAGGAGTATTGACTCCCAATTTCCAGCTCTGTGTTCTCTTACAGCTGCAGATTCCCTGTTGGAATCCCAGCAGCTCTTCCCTGCCCCGTGCCCAGGTATTTTGCAGGGATACAGATGAGGAAAGAAGCAGCAAAGAGGCTGGGTGGTCCCTCTGAGCTCCCAGCACTGGCACAAAATGTCTCTGTTGGGATCAAGGATGTGTTTTCCAAGCTGCCTCCGGACATTCGGCTGTGTTTTTATGTTGCTTTCCCAGCTTTTTTCTGCCTTTCTCCCTCATTTTTGAAAGCTCTACGGGTTTAGAAAATGCTTTAAAGGATTGCAGCCGCACCTGCTTCTCTGTTTTAGCACTGAGGCAGGGAAATGTGTATGGAAAAACACTGGGAAAGGATTCCCCAGGGAGCAGGAGCAGCGTGGGGGCTGTTGGGAGCAGCCGGGGCAGGAGCCCAGCTCGCCAGCACTGGGAGCAGCTGTCTTGTAGAGATGGGAAAACACATGGAAGTGCTGAACTGGAGAATGGGGCACAAAACATTATCCCTCTGTGTTTTCCCTGTCCCGCTGTGTGAGTGCTGCTCATTCCTGTGGATCTCATCCCACTCCTGGCAGCACGGTGAGAGCGTTGGTGGCATTCATGTGCTGCAGCTGGGCCTGTGAAACAGGAGAATTTGGCAATTTTGGGAAGAAAAATGAAGCAACCTGTGTGAAATTAAACACAGATGCACAGAGGAGCATCCATGAATGGGGTGTTGGGACTCTGGGAATGTGTAAGGTGACACAAACTGCTGGTTTTCCAGGTGTTGCCAGGGTTAGAGTGGTGAATTTACACTGGAAGACAGCCTGGGCATGTTGGGAAGTGCTTGCTCATGGAGCAGTTTGATGAAGGAAAACAGAGATCTGTGCCCATCATGAGAGAAAAGAAGGAAATGTGGGGATATTTCAGGTGTGAGGTGGCTCCCAGGCTGAGATCTGGGGGGTGAACTCTGTGTGAGTTGACAGAAGGCAGCAGCAGGAAAGGAAAAGCACAATTTGCTCCTGCAGCTTCCCACATCCTCACAGATTTTGGGAGTGCACTCCCCCGTGTTCCACTCCATGAATGATTTTCCCCCTGAACTGGAAATTTGTATAAAGTGTGCAGCTCACCCCTTTCTGACACAGAAATACAGGGGTAAACCCTAAAATCAGGTTTATGGTGTGTACAATTGCTCCAAACCCATCCTTCCAAAAGAGATCTATGGCATAGACCTGGAAAAAATGGATTTATAATGTAAATATTACCAGAACATAGAGATTTTACTTTATATTTCATTTGAAAGACAAGGTGTTTACATTAGCATTGGGTTTTTGAGTGCTTTTAAACAGAAAAACCCATAACCCAAAGCTCCCAAGCTCACCCTGTTTGAGCTGGTGAACAAAACAGAGGTCGGTCACTTTGTGGGGACAGAGCACTCACGGCCTGGAGAGAGAGATGGGAACAGCCTGGGACATTTTGCCCTATTTTTGGGACATGTGGGATGCGCCAGCACTGCCAGCCCCACAGGGACACAGCTCCAGGCACTGGCAGGTGACACCAGCCCTGTGACACTGGGAACAAAAGCAGCGATTTGGGACAGGTTTTTCCACACTGCTCTTCCCGGTTTTTGGCACAGGGTTTTCTCAGAGTGCCCTGGGGTTTGTTGGGAGCTTGGTGAGAGCAGCTGGCTCCAGAGAGGGACTTGTAGTGCTCAGGGCATTCAAGCTCTGCAGGCTTCACCTCGGCTTTTAGGAAGGAAAATCTGTCTATTTTCAGGGATTTCATCTGTTTGGGGTTGCCTGGCCCCTCACAGAGAGCAGGGAGGTGAAATGGCACTGGTTTTGTTCCATACAGATCCCAGACTGGTTTGGGTGGGAAGGGATCTTAAAAATCATCCTTTTCCACCCTTGCCATGGCAGGAACACCTCCCACTGTTCCAGGCTGCTCCAGCCTGGCCTTGGGCACTGCCGGGATCCAGGGGCAGCCACAGCAAATCTGGGAATTCTATTCCAGGGTCTCAGCACCCTCCCAGCCAGGAGTTCCTTTCCAATCTCCCATCCATCCCTGCTCTCTGGCAGTGGGAGCCATTCCCTGTGTGCTGTCCCTCCATCCTTGTCCCCAGTCCCTCTCAGCTCTCCTGGAGCCCCTTCAGGCCCTGCCAGGGGCTCTGAGCTCTCCCTGGATCCTTCTCCTCTCCAGGCTGGGCATTCCCAGCTCTCCCAGCCTGGCTCCAGCCCTGCAGCATTCCCAAGGGAAGCACCACAGCTCTGTTTCCCAGCAGGGCTTTTCCCAAGTCAGGCTGAGGCTGCAGAGGGGGCTCAGCCCAGCCCTGGCACCCCCGAGCTCAGCAGCACCAGGATCCATCTGGGTGAGCAGAATAACAAATAAAAGCGGCATTCAATCATAAATATGTGAATGCATGCACAGAGAGGCTTCAGCTCCATTCCTTCCATGGACATTTCCCTTTAGACTGTCCTCAGCAGCCTCTCCCAAAGGAATTTTCCCCTGGGAATTTGGCAGCCCACACCTGCAGAGTCAAGGTCCCACTGGCAGAGCAGGAGTTTTTGCCCATGGATACCTTCAGACTTGGAATCTTACATGGTAGGAGCAGGAACTCTTTTTTTACCACCTTTCTGCTGTTTGTTGCAAACAGCCACAATTCTCAGCCAGCTCATGGTGCTCCTCACAGGAGACCTTTCAGAGCAGTTTCCTGCTTTAACAATATTTCTTAATAACTCTGAAATCTCCCAATAGTAGTAAAAAACACCAAATACTGAGCTTTTCACTTGGTGTCTACATTTGTTCTTAAATATCACTGCCCTGTTTTACATCTTCTTGGTTTTGTTGTCATTTGGTATTCCAATGAAATTAATTTGTCTTCACTCTGCACTTTCAGGTTTTATCTATCATTTCTTAAAACATAAGTGGGAAAACCTGCAAGTTTCCATTGGAATGCCCTCCCTTTTTAGCCAGGCAGAGCGGGGATGGGAAGGGAAGGTACAGCCCCCCTGCCACCCTTCCTGGGCTGCTCTCTGAGATCCCTCCAGCAGGAGCATCCTAAATAAAGAGTCACCATCTCTTTCTCCCAGCAGAAGCATTTTTCAATGGCTGGAGTGCACTGAAAAGGTGACAGATTTTTAATTTGCCTAAGAGAGAGTCAAACATTTTTTTCCCTACCCTTTTGTGGTTTTTATGTGAAAATATATTGGTTAAAACCCCTAATTTTGAAGCTAGTCATGACCAAAATACGTAATGCCATCCTGTTGTATTTTCCAGGTTAGAAATTACTGTCTCAAAGATTTCATTTCATAGCCATTTCTTTTCCTCACGATTTCCGGAGGAAATGAATCCATGTAGAGCCAGGAAGGTTTTATGATAATCAGGATTATTCCAGTCAGGATTTTAACTCTTCTGTCACTGCAAGGCAAGGAAAAGATTTGCAGGAATCCGCCCCGCTCCTGCCTGGCTTCCCTTGTCCCTTTGGGAGGGATGATGGTGCTGGCAGTGGTTCTTGGAACCATGAATTGATGGTGGGATGCTCTTCAAAGGCCTGGGGACAAGCAGGATGTGGTGGAACACACCAGATCCCAGGGAGACTTTGGGGATGCCCTGTTCACCCATAGAAATCCAGATTTTCTGGGACAGCAGGAATCGCTGTGGGTGTGCTGCCCCCATGTTGGGTTCCTCATCCATGCAGGAAGGGATTTTTCACTCCCAAACGTTGTAAGGTTGGTGAAATCCCCTGGCTGCTTGGGTGACATGAAACAAACAGAAACGTGGCATGGTCTGAGCCAGGATTTGGGTTGGGATGTGCCAGGAAGCTCCCAGGGCTGGTGGGAGGAGAGCCCAGGGTGTGGGACAGCCCCACTGTGACACCCCAGCAGTGAATCAGATATCCCCAGGGATCACCCTGGACCACTTAATGAACTCCCTCGTGTATAAAATGTTTATAAATATTTGTGGATGAAGATACACAGGTCTATTTTTAAGATTTAAGTTAAATAAGTTAATGAATGGCTGGCCTTTTCTGCCTGAACGTGCAATGAGATATAATATACCTTTAGTCTACGATGGCCTAGGTACTGATTAGTCTGTGATGAAAACTTTGCTGCTTTCCTACTGTTCTCAGAGAAAAAAAACAACCTATAAAAGACGTACAGGTTTGTTGCACAGGGACTACTGCAGCGAAGCTTTGTATTTGACCACTGGTAATATGAATGTGTTGTATTGACTTGTTGAAGATAATCATGAAACAACATATTTTAAATGTTACTTGCCTTATAGATTAGAGTACGACTATGTGGATATCATTTTTGTAAATACTGTTTTTTATAAATGTCTCTCCTCCATCCTCCCCGTCACCAATTTCACCGACTCTCAAATATGCAATTATTTACCATGCAGAGCGTTGTGACAAAGAAATCCCCACGTCAGAACAAAGTTTATTCATCCTATACATAAGAACCACATGAAATACCCAACTGAGTTGCAATTTAAATGTGATTATTATTATTTTTTTTCCTTGAAAATAAACAAAAAAATGTAAAACATTTCTTTTTCTGAGCTGGTTTTGCTACCACATGCAGGAGTACCCAGAGGAGTGGGCAGAGGGGTTGAAGGCTGGCCCAAAAAAGGGTCCCTGTCCCAAAAAAGGGTCCCTGTCCCAAAAACCAGCATTGCTGCTGGAGTTATGTGCAGTGTCCCAGCATGGGGGCAGGTCAAGGGTGGCATGTGGGGACACACAAGGATCCATAGGGATCGTGGGGCTGGATGGAGCTTGAGGGAATGGGGCTGTGGGGACATGAGGGATGTGGGGTTGGAGGACACTTCAGGGCTGTGGGGACATGAGAGATTGGGGCTGGGGGACCTGTGGAGGTCATGGGGACACTTCAGGGCTGCGGGGACACAGGGGTTTGTGAGGATCCACAGGGATCACGGGAATCTCTGTGGGCTATAGAGCCCCATGGGCACCATAGGGACCCACATCTGGGGGGGCTGTGGGAACCCCTGGGGGCCATGGGGACCCGAGGAGGTCACAGACACCCTCAGGAGCCCTGAGAACATAAAGGACATGTGGGGACATTTGGAGGCCATGGGGCCACACAGAATCTTTAGGTTTATGTGGGGACATGTGGGAGCTGTGGGGACATGTGGAAGTTATGGGACCATGCAGGGACCGGTGGAAGTCATGGGGACACAGAGGGAGCTGTGGAACCTGTAGGGATACGTGGGAGCCATGGGAACCTCTGGGGACTGTAAAGAAACCCAGAGACCTGTGGAAAACATGGGGACATGCAGGAGTCATGGGAACCGGTGGGGACTGTAGGGACACACGGGAAGCTGTCGGACACCAGGGACTGCAGGAATACGTGGAAGCCACGGGGACACACAGGGAGCTGTGGGGACCCGTGGGAGCCATGGGCACCTGTGAGGGCTGTGGGGACACGCAGGGACCGCTGGAAACTATGGGGAGCCGGGGGAGCCGCAGGACCTCAGCCGTGAGGGGGGGAATGGCGGGGCCGGGAACGTGGGGGGACGAGGCGAGGAACGGGAATGCGGAGGCGGGGAACGGGAACACACAGGGACGGAGGCCGGGAACATGCCTAAATGGAGGCGGCGAACGGGAATGTGGGGGGACGTAGGCCGGGAATACGGAGGGTGGAGTCGGAGAACGGGAACGCGGCGGGCGGACCCCGCTGCCGGCGCCGCCTCCCCTCACGCAGCTGAGGGCAATGGAGGGCGGTGAATCCCCCGCCGAGCCCGGCCCGGGTGGGTGTCGGTTGCCCCTCTAAAACCCTCCAGCGCCGCGCTTGTTCCTTCCTAAACCCCGGCTTTGCCTCGCAGGGCCTGCCAGGCGCTTCCCGGTGGCGGCGGTGGAGGAGATCCTGAGGGATGTGCTGGAGAGCGCCCTGAGGGAGCGGCGCTACGAGCCGGGACCGTGCCTGGAGGCGGCCAAGGACATCGCCGAGGTGCGACCGGGACGGGACACTTGTGCCTCCACGGGTGCCTCAAATGTCCCCCAAAATGGTGATAAAGTGTAAGATAAAGGCTGGAGGCGGTGTCAGGGTGCCGGCAGGGGTTGCTCAGAGGAGGGTACAGACATCGACGAGTTAGTTAATCGGTTTACAGGCTGGTTTGGGTGGGGAGGGGCCTTAAAGCTCATCCAGCCTCAGGGACAGCTCCCACTGTCCCAGGCTGCTCCCAGCCCCAGTGTCCAGCCTGGCTTTGGGCACTGCCAGGGATCCAGGGGCAGCCACAGCTGCTTTGGGCACCTGTGCCAGGGAACAGTTCCTAATTCCCAATATCCCGTCCATCCCTGCCCTATTGTCACTTCAATACCATTCCCCCTTGCCCTGCTGTAAATCCACCCCCATTTTGGAACCCGTCTGGACTGAATCTGTTTTTCCCCGCAGGTCATTAAGGCGCGGGTCAAGGCGCTGGCAGTGCCCAGGTACAAGATCGTGGTGGTGGCGCACATTGGGCAGCTGGGTGGGCAGAGCCTGCAGATCAGCAGTAGGTGCCTCTGGGATCCCAAGAGTGACACCTTTTCCTCCTACGTGTTCAAGAACACCTCGCTGTTTGCTGTGGCAAATGTCTATGGTGTGTACTTTGAATAGGGAGGTAGTAGAGTTTAGCAGCAGGAGAAATTAATATTCAGCCTAACTCTTCCTGGCTCTGTTGTTGAAAATATCTGTGAAGGACCAAGGTACTCTCACCTGCTTTGAAATGTGAGCCTGTGGGTGAGTGGAATAAGGATCTT